TTAAAAGCAACCCTAGGATAGATAAAGGGAAATAAAAAATATAGGCTTAGCAGTCCAAAGCATGTGTCTGAATATACATTTAAAGCATAAACCAGCTTCCTATATTCTGTAGTATAAAAAAACACTACATAAATTAAAAGAAAATGTTCATAGGGTTAGGGTTACGGTTAGTGGGTCATGTTTTCTTAATTGTGTCTATTCTGACTATGGGTGATGCTAGCATTAGACTTGTCACCTCCAAGATTCAATAAACATGGACACCATGAAACAACATAGACTTTGGAAAGCTTTCCAAATAAACTTTATTTTTACATAAATAATTTCAAATGCCTGTTTTTAAATCAAAGACAATCACACAGAAATGAACCCCTGGATTAGCTATTGAAGCCTCCTGCATAGGAATTTACTTCTGGAGCGAATTGCTGGCTAACCTAGTTAGCTGCCTATTTATCTGTACCAGTTTCTTTAACATGTGAGGATGTGTGTATCTATTTAGCATGTGTATAGGCTAGTAAACGAGTAACTATAGAATACTGTGTGCAATACTTTTCCAGCAGACTATTATGAGGCCTTTTTTGGGAGCTTTAAATGGCCAGGACCTGGCTGATGTGGTTGTTGCTTATTTGCAGTCATGAAACATCTATTATATCCAGACTATTTTAGTTAACTACCTTCATTTGGCATTCATGTGTGATATTTACACAACTTCAGAGGCAACCACACGCAGCATTGTCCTCATGATACTAGAGGGGGTGAGTGTTTGTAAATTCACAAAGAGTCTTATTGTGTTAGATAGACCTGTGGTTTTGAATGATCCCCTGGTTTCCTGGTGTGGCTCTTGAGCCTGCGTAACCTGTGGGGGGTGTTTGATGTGCCCGAAAGGCAAAGTGAGGTGACCGAGCCCATAAAGAGCTATAAAATGAGAGGGAGAGAGGAAGAGAGGGAGAGAGGGAGAGAGAGAGAGGTCTGAACCATTAAGTGCAGACAAGACATAAAAGAGGCTATCAAAGAGTGTAAACCACAGATTCCCATTATTGTGTGACATTAGCCCATAGCACACAGTAACCCTTCATGATCCCACGGGTGCCTGCAGCACACTGTCCTTTAATGACTTCCTGGTTGAATGATTGTTGTTTCCTGGAAGCAAAATACAGCGAAGGAAAAAAATACAGCTCGACACACGCTTGTTCTTTGCATAGCAGAATGCTGCTTTTTTTTTTTTTTGCAGTATTGCTAGAAATAAGTCCTACATGGAGTGAATGCATGAAACACAGAGTGCCATCAAATGAACACCAAATGAGTCCCTGTTTATGTAGGCATCAAACTATTTATGCAGATAGGGTGATCATACAGGGTTGGATCAACTAAAGGAGATCTGGACAGACTGAAACTTCATCATAGTGCACTAATTAGGCAGCCAGCCGCTATGCTCAATACATGGAAATGAAATCCTTTCCATTCCTTTCCGTCTATCTGTTTGTGTGCCTTGCGTCACCCCGAGGAGTTTAAACAGAAGACTAATTCTTCATCTAATTTTCCCCAACTCCCCATTGCTTTTGCTCCCTGTGTCTCTCTGCCTCCATCGCTCTCCATCTTTCTTCTCACGCTGATAGCTTGTCCCACAGGATCCCAGCAGTTGTCAGTAATCAAGGAAATCACTCTCAAAGAGCTACAAATAGGTCACTTATCTGATGTCTGGTCTGATCTGACAGAGACAGACAGCCAGTTAAATCCCTTGCATCTGCCTCCCTCCGCTATTCCTAGTGTGATTAGTAGCCGTTCTATCTGCCAGGAGGTACTGAAGTAAGAGAGACAATGAAAGATAGCGATAGAGAGAGGGAGAGGAGGATAGAAACTCCAGCTTTCATCATTAGCATTCCATTCAAATGGCTCAATTGAGCAGTTGTCACTCATGGGATTCCCAGGACTCTGAGAAGCCATGCTTCTTCATTTATTCAATTTATTGATATAAAGACTCTTCATTAAGAGACACCGGCAAATTTGACATCTGGTCTCAGGTGGCCTTGATGTGGAATTTTAAGCAGGCATGGAATTGGAGACCATGTGACGTGTAAGAGCTCCTTTGTCTCTCTCGGGGCTATTACACCAACGTGCCAAGAGTACATGGTCTGTTTGAAGTCCCAGCAAAGAGACACACACACTCAGAAACGCACCCGGGCACACATCTTGATGAAGAAGCACACACCCGTGGCAGGTGAAAATTTCATACTTGCGTTTCCCACATGACGGCCATGTGAATTATTGAACTGAGATGGTCCTCTTGATCCACGCTTTGGTGTGCACACAGAGAATCTCTTACCTGTCAAACACTCCACCACACACACATACATGGCTACAAGCGGAGGGTTTTTTTACCTGTTCCTGCAGTTCGAGCAGATGGGACTCTCCGTGGTGCGCATCAGTTCATTTCTTGTTGTTTTGAACAGTGAGGCCTCAACATGTTTGTCTCCTTCACAGATAAGACAGAGGATTTCTCAGGCATGTTCTCATTACTGAAATGCATAATCCGTCTGTTCTGCTCCACATTATCTATCTGTTATCCAAACAGATGACACTGATGATGAGGGTGAATGATCAAATTATGTTATTATTTACGCCATGATTTCATCCTACTTTGATTGGCAGATGGTAGGCGTCATGAATAATAAATGTAATTTGTCTTACAGTATCTTTGTCACAGTGATTATATGTATATAGACCAGCGTGAGAGCGCTGATTGATAGGAGTTACATTACCGTACTCCAGATAATACAATACATTAGACCTGAACCTGCGGGGTCCACGTATGGATCCTGTGTGAAGGAAAATGAAAATTGCGGCTGTGAAAACTCACAGCAGAGTGCCTCACTGTGGGTGTGGGAGGACCACGTTGGAAATTAAGAGAGAGGGTATCATGTTCAAACAGAGGGATGTTTTATGCAGAAGCCGCCGTCACTGCTGAACGGATGAAGTAATTTCATTTTCATGCATGATCTGCAACCTCACAGACCAGGAAAATTGCATAGGAGGGGAAGAGAAAGATAGAGAGAAAAAAAGAGCCAAGCCTTCCTTTTTCTCCATTTGACTCCGTGATTATTTCCTCTGACTTGTAACCATAGTGATGGTTCGGTCCCAATAAAAAAAAAAAAAGTCAATGCAGTACTGTGTTCAAAGGGTGAGGTCGGAGAAAAGATGATGTGAAGATATTTAGGGCTGAAAGATAGATCAAACTGATCTAGCATCCATAATTCCATAAAATCAACCAATAGTACTGGCTGTCATCAACCACTGTCATATGATATGGACATGGGAGATAATTCCTGTAAATCTGTATAATTACTGACACAAACAATACAGGGATCAAATTACAGGTACAGTCTGTATACTGTATAGATTGTTTAAGACACAATAGCAAAAACAAAAGTCGTCAATTTAGTTCATTTTTAGATTTTGACAGTGTATGTTAAGTCTGGATTTTGGCTTGGATTTAAACATCTTTAAGCGTTTTATCCTAAATATATGGTAAGCAGAGTTCTGTGTAATTACTGACTGATTTAATTCGGTCTGGTGTGCAGTAATTACATGAAACAAAAATGTAATATACTGTTAATTTGTCTTTATGTGTGTGATATTGGAGTGTGAGTCTCTGGATCTGGCATTTCTATGCTTGATGGAGATAACACCATTCAAAATATTTTAATGAACAACATGTCTATAATTAATGTTTGTCTTCAGTATGGCTCAGCCTGTCCGTACTGATTGGCTTTAAACTGCATACACACCCAATAATACAATACTATAAATTAGAGAATAGTTTTCTTCTTGCCAAGAGTTAGATCAGATTTATGCCACTCTGAAGCTACCATCAGCAGCCGAAGTGTCAGTCTGAAGTGTAAAAATTACACGTTTTAATATGGAGGTTATGTATTTAATATTTCTTGGCCCAGCTTTAAAGTTGTTGGTAGAAAAGATTCTGCTACCTTTAGACGGAGCCAGGCTAGTTGTTTCCTCCTGTTTCCTGTCTTTGTGCAGCTAACTGGCTGCTGTCTGTAGTTTCAAATCCACTGTACAGACATGGGAATGGTATCAATCCTCTCATTTAACTCTGACCTAGAAAGAAAATATTATTTCATATACTGAAAGAATAATAACTATGGTAATGGTTCAGGGGTGACAGCCTTTGTATGCCAACTTAATAATGGTAACAATTTCAGACCCACCAATTTAATTGATGTCACATTAACAGTGCAGTGAGGTGACACAGCAGAATTCTTGAAGCCCATAGAAAATCAATGCCACAAAAAGAAATGCTACAATCCCCTCTCCTTTTGTCTCCTTTGAAGTCAGCAAGGTGCTGAGCAAAAGTATTGATATTTTCATTGCTGTGGCAGTGGAAGCGCTCTGCTGAAACTTGTTTAAAGTAAAATATTTCACTCTTTAAATGTCACATTTTGAATTGTGTGTGAAATAACAGCGGAGGTGTTAAAGGTGGAACAGGCACATTGAGATAAGCCACGTAGTTGAGAATAACGGTATGAGTCATTTGCAGATCATCAAGGCAGGTAGCCGTCAGAAATACTTTCATGGCTGGCCGTAAGGTCCTTTTACAGTTGTTCAAGGTCTGCTGAGAAGCTGCCATGATGGTTGAGAAAACTAAAAACTCAACAGGTCAAACAAAATATTCTGACAGTGGATCTATTTCCCTCTCTGCACATTGTTCAATTTTCAATTTTCACCTTCAGGCTGTAGGTTCAAAGTGTTAGCACAAACGAAAGTTTGCAGTGGAAATGTTACCATCAGTGTATCTATCAAACATCCCATGTACTCTGTCTTTTCAGAAACTTTTCGTTTTATTCCAAAATGCGTTTTTGACAATTTGAGTCACCGTGCTCGGAACATTTTGTGCTTTCTGTTGCAAGTGCAGTAAAAAAAAAAAAGCCAGGACTGAAAACCAGATTTTCCTCTCTGTTGAACTTCTGTTTCTCTGTTTCTGTCCTCAGATCCGCTCAGATCAGGACAAGGATGTTGGCATCCGCTACAGCATCACAGGAGCAGGCGCTGATCAGCCCCCAAGTGGAATCTACAACATAGACCCCATCAGCGGCAACATGTTTGTCACCCAACCCCTGGACAGAGAGGAGAGAGCCTCCTTCCATGTAAGGAAGAAATTAGTCCGTCTTGTTTGTTTCTGTCCCCCCCCAGTCTCATTACCTCTCAATTATCCCTGTAGAAATGTCAGTGTGTGTTTGTCTTCCCCCACCTGCCTTTCATTCTAAAGCTAATGTTGCCTGCCGTACAACCATAAGTCGGAGCACATTCAGAGAACACGCTGTACCGCTAGCTGCTGTACAGTACCTTCACAGCAGCCTCTCCACGTTCTGATTGATGCCAAAGCCAGCAATGAAATGATGAATGCCTTGGCAAAACACGCAGTCACATCAGCTGTCATTTACATTGAGGTTTAGCTGCACAGAGTATCGCAGGATGGATAGAACAGAGGGGAAGAGACAGAGCCAAGGTGGAGTGCTGGAAAACTGTTGTCTTTGTTCTTTCCATCAGAGCTAATGAGCAGGTGCAGCTTCAAGTGTGTGTGTGCATGTTTGTGTGCCTGTAAAGGTGTGTGTGTGTGTGTGTGTGTGTGTGTGTGTGTGTGTGTGTGTGTGTGTGTGTGTGTGTGTGTGTGTGTGTGTGTGTGCATGTATTGAATGCTGATTGATATATGATGTGAGTTTATACTGTAAGAAGGTCTCTCTTTTGCCTATCTCTTGTCACTTTCTGTATGTTATTTACACTCTTCCTGTCTTCCTGCCCCGTTTTACTATGGAGCCCCCACGCATTGTTTCACGCTTACCTTGTGTGCTTTGCAGCAGTGCTGTTCAAAGGTGCAGGCTCACAACTGTACAGTTAGCCTGCATATGGCCCATAGGACACACACACACACACACATACACACATACAGCAGGCTGGAGGTTTGAGTTCATGACTGGCCCCTCTGGAACCTCGGGTTTAACAGCTTTGTGAATTAAATATGCGGACCACATGAGACTTGTGTTAACGTTAGGCCATTGGTTCCCATTACAGGTTTCAATTTATATCAGCTAAGACTAACACCTCCACTCGAGGTGAGCGCTGGTGTCAGGCTCACAACGCCCACGTGCCTGTCAGCATGATAGATGGCCACACCGCTGATAGAGCTAATTTAAAAGCGTGCTGCTGTCTCAGAGGAAGAATAGAATAAAGGAGAGTGGATCTCTTCACCGTCTCACACTCTCAGCGGTATGCACACATTATAAACACCAATGCGCACACACCGTATGTGCAATGACTGTAAACAAACTCAAAGCTCTAGATGATTGTCTTCTTGATTGGTGTGTCTCGTACTTCTGTGTACATTCCATTTAGTTTTAGATGAGCCTTTTGTTACCTTACTTGCTACGTTCAGGCTCTGGACACTGCTGCTTGTGTGTTTCTTGTCTCTCCATGCCTGCTCTTACACTCAACCAGCAAATTGGGATCAATAAAGCAGTCAGGTTATTGGTCCCTAGGAAAGGACAGCCGCTCAGTAAACAGTTCTTATTTGACACTGCCTGTAGTGAAAACAGCATGTTAGGTTGAGGGCACTTCAAGTTGAATGTGGCTCCTATTTAGACTCCTGTGGACCCATGCTGCTTGTGATGTGATGTATGATTTAGTGTAGGAGAATGTAGCCAGTGTTTGACCCAGGGGAAATTTAGTCCATTGCTTACTTTCTTTCAACTTGACAGGAAGTTCCCAGTGCTGCTGTGCTCTCGCAGGCCAAACTTTGCTTGTTAGTTTTGGGTTCAAGTGAAAAGAGAGACGAGGCTGCTGTTTTTGACAGACTAGCACCAGGGGGAAGTGATCTGTGAGGTGAGGAGAGTGGGTGTTAGCCTGAGCTTCGCTTTTGTCAGACGGATTCACTGTGAGTCAGCAGGGCACGAAGAGATGTGAGCAGATATGAGAATGTCTTGTGTTTGTTTTTCTTTTTCATATTTGCTTGCATGAATTTGTGCACTTTAGTGGATAGTGAGTGTTTCATGTGTGTTTTACACAGATGCACAATCAGCTGACGGTGCTGTTGGGACATTTGTGTGGCTCAAGTCCTATCTCCTTGAAGGCACCTGGAAGTTGCTTGTTGTCCTCCCAGATCCATATTCTTCATATATGTTTAGAATCTATTCATCATTTTGTCATCCATATTGTAAGTTTTGTATTTTGTCTATTTTATTCTGTTTACTCGAAATTTGTCCATCCTGAGAGAGCGTTCCTTCTTCTCCATGTTTTTCCTGTTATGTCAATAATATTGATTATTTTTAATAATTATAAAACAAGACTAAGAGTCCACAACCAGTGACTGTACTTAGATTGTACATCACTATGCTAACACGCTCACAATGACAATGCTAACATGTGGATGCTTAGCAGGTATAATGTTTACCATGTGCAACATCTTAGTTTAGCATATTAGCATGATAACATTTGCTAATTAGCTTTAAATACAAAAGCTGATGGTAATGTCATTAGGTTTGTAGGTATTTGGTCATAAACCTGATGATGGCTGAAACATCAGGGGATTATAAAAATCCTTATACACTGTCTGGACATGATGTATCCTACGAAATGACATATTTCACTGAATAATTGAAAACTTTGACCTGCTGGTGGCGCTAGGAGAAATCAGAGGATCACAAAAGTCATTCGAATTTATCTTTTAGAGAGCTCGACCAAATTACATGGAAGTCCATTCATCAACAGTTGCTGAGATATTTCAATATGCACCAACTGAGTGGTGTTGGGCCAGACAACATTGTTATCCCTAGAGCCACAATGCTTGCATGGCTAAAAATAATAGTATTTAGCATGTCTGCTAATCCTAACCCTAACCCAAATTATTTGATGAGTGGGTACATGACTTATACATAGACACTGTAGGTAGTTGGTACAAGGAGCAATAGCTGCCCTATTTTTTTTTTTTTTTTAAAAAGCCACATGCAGTACAAAACGGTACCATGTATCATGGAAGTATGGATATATTTTGGGTGAGGGGACCAATGGACCACATACAAACTGTATTTTTCCTCTGTGGTTGAACCAGTCAAACTAAAGCTCACCCTGCAGAATACTGATGTCGGTTCACACACATACATATGCAGTCTGCACAGCTCACACACTCCTCCAGGCCCTCAGATCACATTTCCAATTCCTCCATTAAGCACACAGACGAGCATAAACAGACACACACAGATGTGGATATAGAGATAATACACATATAGAAATATAACAAAATATGCAAGAATGTACACACACAAATCCACAGGGATAAAGGACAAAACATTTTAACACAAGGACAAAAATGCATCATTATCACTCATTCACACACAAACACACACACACACACACACCCATGCACTGAAGCAGACACATATCACAGTCACACATCCCTCAGCGTGCAGTGTTCACAGCTGAGAAAACAGATTGGGCTTGTTTGTTTGTTGGGTCTCCTCTCCATATTTGTTTGCTGTGCTTCAGCCAATGGAAAACTAGCATCTTGAGGATCATTAAGTGGCTAAAGAGGGCTCTTTTCATTGGCTGTGTGTCTCTCTCCAGTGTGTATCTGTGCTCTTGTGTCTGTGCCTATGTTAATATGCATAAACATGTGTCTGAATTGGTGTTTGGTTGCATGTGTGAATGCTCAAGCGGGCGCGTGTTTGGGTATGTTTTGATACATCCTTGACAGGCAGGCACAAAAGCCGACATGATTAGTTGTGTTTCGGTGAAGGCAGGTGCCACCATTCAATCTTTCATGTCACCCCCACAATACATCATGACTTCCTGTTCCTCCTCAACTGTGTTGTGGCAGACAAAATATTTTGCTGCCAGTGTGTCAGTTTTAGCCAGAATGAGAGCCCTTCTCCTCTTACCAAGCCAAGCTGTGATTGAATAACATTTCTGCAGAGGATATGAGTTTCTAGGCAATTGAATGAGAGTAATGTAAGTCACAGTGAACAGTGCCGGTTTGGTTCCAGGGCTATTACAAAGCTTTGCGTTATGTTAGATATCATTAGTGGGGATTGGTGGGGAGTAGAGGGTGTGTAACAGCAGCGATGGAGATTAAGACATCCCACTGTAGATGATGATTGCTTTTGTCAGTCCTCCCTGTTCAAGCCCCCACACCCCCACACTGCCTCTTTGTGTTTTCATCTCTCATTTACTTGCACAAGGCTCAGTCACTCTACTCCTCTCCTTCCCATCTCATTCGCCTATTCCCCACGCAGGTTTTTTTCTTTTTTACTTCATCCTCTTCCTCTTTGCTCTCTCTTTTCTCACACTATGAATTGTCAAGAAAAAGCTCATCAGTCAGAGACATCCATCCAAATGGCCTGCTTTGTCAAACCAAACTGAGGCAAACATTCTCCCCGAACAAAGAGAAGCCACAGCTTGAGCAGCAACACCTCTCTGATATTTTTTAGGCCTCTGGCTGTGCTAACAACAAAATAGGTGTTGTTTGTGTGTCTGGAACATTTCACTACTTTGCCCCTCTCTGTGTTGTTGTGGTCCATGCCAAGATGCCAACAGGATACTCATGCCCCGTTGGCAGACAAGGAACAGAACATTTGCCAGTTCAATGAAGTTGCCAATTAACAAAGTCAAAGTTGTGCTGAGTTTGTTCCAGTGCAGGCCGTCTGCAGAGTTTCATATCAATCAGGCCAGCGGCCCGTTGTCAGTCGAGCAACATTTGGAATATTCATTCAAGCCCACATTCAGCCTTGAATGCTAATGACCCCTTCCTTCTTTGTGTGCATTTATGTATATTCACAGCTGCGAGCCCATGCAGTGGACATGAATGGTAACCAAGTGGAGAATCCAATCGATCTGTACATCTACGTGATTGACATGAATGACAACAGGCCTGAGTTTCAGAACCAGGTGTACAACGGCTCTGTGGCTGAAGGGTCCAAACCAGGTAAGAGTTCTGCTCGTCGTAGATACAGCAGCATGGTAATACAGCTGAGAGTGCAGGTTCATTTAGAAGTCTGCACCAAACAATGATGACATTTTGAGGAAAAGCAATTACACATGTTGCTTACTGTGAAGCTCCTTGGAAAAACAGTAGCGGTGTTTCCAGTAAAACACCAAAAGACAATATGATTGAATGCTTGTGTCCATCCACTACTAACTTCAGGATAAGCAGTAGGGACACCAGTTCTACAGATGGAAAAGCAGAAGGAGAGGACACCACAAGATGACATAATTATTATTATTGTATTAATGTGAGGAAGGTTATTTCAGATCTGTGTCGATCAATCATGGATGTATTATAAAGCCATGTGAACGACATTACACGTGAGTTGAATGTTCGCTATGTCAGAATTTTCCATCTCCCATTAAACTCAATCATTTCCAAAAACGCAAGAACCACCTCAAGGGAGCATAAAAGAGTTTGCTTTGGTCGCAAGACACAAACTCTAAACACATTACCCTTCCTCAGCTTAGGTTTTAATTCAAACTACAAACCATTTGCAAATCCATAAATAAATGGAGTTGAATGCTTCCTAAATTATTATTATTTCTTATTAAGACCTATTTGTGTTGACAGCTAATTCATTAAGCTAATTCATCTAGGCAAATACACACAGCAAACTATATACACAATACTTATATACTAATTATTTTTATTGTTGCAAAGGTGAAAGTAAAAGGAAAAGGGAAAGTGATTATATTTACAGATTACAGAAAAGCTAATTGGGGGACTAGAAATACAAGCCTGTAATAATTTCATTTTAACAATTCAGTGTAACATTTTGCAGCTTCTTCACTGTCCTCTGTAGAAAATGATTAATGCATTAATCCATTTGATGCTGTCCTTTAGACTGATTTATTGAATTAGTTTAAAATACGAACAATTTAAAGAAAAAAATATTTAATTGTAATGCACAGCTTCTTATTGCTTATTTTCTATACATCTTTAAGTTTTTAAAACATTTAAGTCTTCCTTCATCACTCTACTTCAGGCAGTGTGACCAATAAGATGCTTTTTTTTCTCTTTTCCATCTTCAGAGGGCCCTATATAAAACCAAAGAAATGCTTTAATCTCACTTACAGTATCCTTGAATAAAGTTGGACTTGTATGGTCTAACAAACATTTTGAGGTGTGAATTTGCTGTGACTCTTGAAGTGTTTGGTTGGATCAGTCCAGGGCAAGTTTTGAGATATTTGTGTTACAGTATCTTGGCTGGATGCATCATTATCAGATTCTGCAGAGCATGGAGAGATATAGACCTTCCCTCAGAATCAGGGAACAGAGTTGTGGTCAGTGCGAAGCCAGAGACGAGAGCAGAATGTGCAAGTAGCTTTCATGTTTCGACTGGAAGAACTCTTGTTCTAACAATCAGACCCCGAGGACCCATGTTTGTCTTCACAGCGTTCAGATATTGTTCTGCTGCAAAGTTTAATCTCGGGGGGATTTGTAAACAATATAGGAAAGCATGTTGTGCGTGTTTACGTGTGTGTATGGATGAGCAAGTATGGGATTGACTTTGTGTGTGTGTGTGTGTGTGTGTGTGTGTGTGTGTGTGCGTGTGCGTGTGCATGAGAGAGAGTACTGGTTACTCCTCAGTGGAGCATGGGTCTATATACAGAGCTCCTAATTAGCGAGGGCAGCCAGACATTCCAAAAGCTAGTTCCCTCGTTTTTTCACTCTGATACTCTCGGCTTAGTTTAAGATGAGAGCATGCAATGACAAAAGTCTTTGAATTAAATTTTGTTTTGAACAGAATGCAATCTGTGATACCAATTAGCAAGAAATATATTAAACTATGTACAGTATAATGTCCCTGCTCTTCATTAAGCAATCACTGCCAACATTCATTTGTGGAGTTCCTGTCACAGGTGTTGAGAGTTTAGTGTCAAAAAAGCATATTGTGTGTGGAGTGCAGCACTTTTTTGTCTGCCTTTACTCCATCATCGGTCTCTGATTTGATGAATTTTAATTAGGAAAATATGCTGCAAAGTCGCGCTGGCCTAATTGCCTGTTTAGTCGAAGAAAACAAGAACGACTGCGATTCATCTTCAGTGTAGGTTCAAGGAGACGTTTAATACTTTTCTGGCCCATTTAAGCCTTTAATATATCCTCCGCCAGTTAAATCTTTCACTCACTAATAATGGACCCAGTTTAGACCTCAAGTTAACTGCCGCACAGTTTTGCTGAAGTCGTTTTTTATACCCAGTAGCACTGCAGATATAGAGTAAGGCACTGTGAGATATCCACTTGAGGTAATGTACATTCATTAATATCAACATTGACCTTGAATTAACTCTTTTGTATGCACCTTTTTTATACACTTTGCTACACTGAATCACAAAACCTAAGGCAACAACCCAAAATATGAGGATTCAATAAAAGAGCTTTTGTAACTAAATTGAAGGCACTTCCAAGCACAAATACTTCTTGTTTTGGCTTATGAGTGCCTCAGATTCTCAGAAATGTTTTCACCTCTTCTCTCTTTCAGTCTTCACCTTTCACTATCCTGAAGAGCACCTCAGCTGCTGACAGTCACTATTCTGACTAGGGTTGTCCCCAACTAAAGATTATTCAATTTAATTTCCTAAAAACTGGGACTTATCATCATGATGGTGCACCCTGATAGTTCACCTGGTAGAGCATCCCATGGACCAAGGCTGAGTCCTTGCTGCAGTGGCCATGCATTTGAATCTGACCTGTGGCCCTTTGCTGCATGTGATCCCCCCTCTCTATCCAATCCTCCTATTAGGGGGCAGCCCTTATTCTGCCCTAGTGCAGCACTTCACCTGGCTTCTTCTTATAATAGAAATGTCTTCCGCTAAATCCTTAAAAATAAACTTTCATATTACACATAAGTCTGAAATTTTAGGTGATTATCAAAAGATCATCAATCAATCAAGGTGCAGTAAACACTTCAGAGACCACAGAGTTTGCACGTGGCTTAGATCATTCTGTGGAATCGAAAGATGACCATGGAAATCCCTGAGGCGTTACTCCAGGTGACAACAGGTGGCGTGGTGACATCTGTCAGAGCACTGCAGCTGACAGGTGCTGCCCAGGGCAGGGTGTCCAGCGGTGCAGCTGGAATATCTCAATTATCTGTCTCCTGCAGCAGGTTTAAACATCCTAATGAAAGATCAAAGAATATTCATACCTATTACCACACACTGGTTCATGACAAAATACAGTTACAGTTACAGTGTAGTGTGGTGTGGTAGCCCCCTGCATGTGCCTATCAGGACACAGATAACACAATAATAAAAAACATTTGTGTGAAATCTGATAGCAATACGCAATGCAGTAGCTGAGTGGGTTGTGGCTATCATGAAATTTGTGCCATAACATTTATTTTAAGGTTACCCAAAGTCAAATTCCTGTTCACTCAAAAATCAACAAGCAATTAAAACATATTTTCTCACTTACCTCTTGATGCTGCCAAGACAAAGTAAATGTATTCACTTCACTTGTCTTTGGCATGGCGAGAGAGGTCTCTGCAGCATACAGCTCAAAAAACCTAAAAAAATTAAATTATTTGCATGGTTAGAGACCACTACTGTTGAGTGTAATTTCAAACTTTAAAAAGGTTAAACAACTTAATTTCCACCATTTTGTCAGGAAAAAATTTGAACTGTTCAAATTAATCCAGAACTTATGAAATATTTCTAATATGGCTTGCAGCCAATTCAGTGCTCATGCTCCATCATCCCAATAGGAACTTAATTAAAGGCATATTTAGCGGCACTGTCTCAGCAGAAAGATGAACGCATGGAGAGTAGAAAAGTATTAGTATAAGCATAGTTTTCTATCACACCAATGAATTGAATAAACCTCTGCAAAATAGAATATATGCTCTTCATCCCCAGTGTAAACAGAAATATTTCAGTTCATATTTGCAACATTCTTAAAAATGTATAGAATAGCAACAAGCCTTTATTATGAATACTTGTGCTATTTCTTTCTAAATGCCAAGCAAAGGGGGGACATGTGTAAAGCTGCAATAGTATCACATTCTATATCTACAGACCCAGCTATCAAAGCTTCTCTGAAGCATTACAACAGATCTTCACATCTAGCGCTGCGTGAAAGCCATCAAAGAGGGAGACCTACAGGGAACCGCCCTTATCAAGGTCACCACATGTTACTTAGGGAGAGATCCGATCAAACTGTCAGCCAGGATCAGTTTGAAATGGCTTCATTTGTCACTTTCTGCCACCGGGCCTCTCGCTCAGCACTCAATGAACCTGTGACTAATGGAATTTAATTTGTACAGGTAATCAGACGTAACAAAACAGTACATGACAAAATGCACAGCCCTTGTTAATGAGGAATAAATGGGATTCAGTGTGAAACTAGGAGGATTATCCTGGGAAACCAGTATGCAAATAGGTTCCTGTGGTAGTTCTCCTGCATCATAAAAATATCCCTTGTGGCCTCTGGCTCATGAGCTTTGAGTGATTTGGGCTACCATACAGCACACACACGAAATACAAAAAATACACCTCTTCCTTTTCAAGGTCACCAAAATGATCAGAATTTCTATAATATCTTAAACAACACTGTAATGTGAGACAAGTGGCCTCAGATAAAGATTTATTAACATGGCGTGACTTCTTCAGAAAGCTCTAGTGTTGTGAGGCTGCAGTGTGCTCAGAACATCTGCCCTGTGATGTTGTTCTCCTTCCCTCCCCCTTCTCCTAGACTCTAACAGCAAGTTGGTCCCTTTTATGGACCGTCTTTCTCAAAAAGGCTGTTGGAAATAAGAGTACAAGATCAAAACCAGCAGCTGAGTGCCTTCTCTCACAGTCAATTTGCCCTCCCAAGGGGGGGGGGGGGACAAAGGGGCTGCATCCCCCCGCCTCTCTCTCTCTTTCTCTTTCTCCCTCCTAAAGGGTTTGCTAACAGTTGTGGGGAGATTTCAGAGACTTTCTCTCTCCGTCTTGCCTTGGGGGGGTAATTAGGAATCGGTACAGGAAGGGAGAGATGCAGTGATGTTGGCGAGCAGAGGTGGAAGAGCACAGCAATGTTTCGATCAGTATCGGAGGTAGAATTTATGAGCAGGTGTTCCTCATTGTGCTCCTTACTGTTATTCTATGTATGTCATAGTGACAATCCAGGAAACCCATCAAGGCCACATGAACAGTTGTTATTGACACAGAGGGTCAGAGGTCAGCACTGCCACCTCAGTATAAAGGACCGTTTCTTCTTGCCTTTATGGGATATCTTTAGAGTATCAAAGTTGGAATGGTATTTTTCCATCTTGTACCTTTTTTTATAGTATCATCTTGGATTATTTTGAGGTTTATGGTTATGGCCATCAGTTTGCAGTTTTGTTTCTAACGAGTGACATTTTTCCTGTCCTGGAATGGCCGATGGCTGTAAATACTATGATGCCCATGAGTCTGAAGGCTGAAACGTTTAAGGGCTTTGTTTGGAGATGTTTGCATAGTTGCTTCATTTGTACTTAAACAGGCGATAATGTTTACATCTACCACCCGACACAAAACTCTCATTTTCATTTTCAGCTCCAGAATCCTTTCTTTTGGCTTTTTATTAAAGGTATTTTAGTGTATCATATTGTATTTCCATAAAGTTTGGAGACTTGCAAGAGACTTAATAAAGAATAGTCTAATTCGGTACACCTTGACCTTTATTCCCTGGAACAAGCCCCAAAAACCCTGGATCCTACAATTCCTGTATTGTAAGCACTTCAAACCATGATAATCCTGAGGACGTCATCTTGATAAAGCTCCGTTAGAGCCACAAAAGACTTTATGCAAATGTTTTCTCAGGTTAAGTAGCTTTCACTGTGATAAATAAACTGATCTTGTATAAAAGCAACGTCCCCTAAAAGAACCAGACAAATGCGATAACTACTGCTCATGTTATGTAGAGATGATTCAAGCAGCATCATTTTAGGCCCATCCAAGTCTTGGAGGTGCTCCCACTGCCAATCAGCTACCATTGTCTATGCAGAAAATTAACTAGACCTTCACTGCAACCATGGACCTCCAAAATAACTCCCTCAGCTGAGTTACTCTGTTGTCTTCCTGTGTGACAGACTGGAGTGGACAGATTTGTGCAGGTTCAGCTGTTTGTCATTCACACTAGCAAAGGTTTCCCCTGTGTTGTTGAATAAGAGCAAGCAGGTAGAGAGCCACAGGCATGGTTATAATACAGCAACAGTGATCCAGGTAAAAGCTGCACTTGATCTGGCCTTTGCATTAAGTTATGAAGGCTGCCTGTGTCTGACCTCATTCACAGTGGTTGTCTTTGAATGCTTCGAATGGTTTGACAGTGTCCTCCATTAGAAGCTCTTGTGTGAACATTATGTGTCCCCTTCTTCACTTCCCCCAAGATTCACCTGGTTTTCACCTTTTCTCTTACCACTTCTCAACCTCTACTTCTCCTTCTCGCGTTCTATCTACTGTACCGCGGCCACTCTTTCAACCTCTATCTTCCTTCCTGATGAGAGTTATTATCCTCTTACACCGTCCGTCCCCTCTCGCTCCCTGACATCCCCTTGTACTTTTGCTTTTCGTGGTCTTTGTAAACCCTCTCACCTCTATTCTCGTCTCCACTTTCATTTTCTGCTTTGCAATTTCCTCCTTTGCTTTCTATCTTTGCATCTGTGTGTGTCTATTTCCCTGTTATCTGTCTATCTCTATCCACCTGCTCCTTTTTTCTCCATCTTCCCTCTTAATTGGGAGGCAGATGTTGACTCTGGCTTGCTAATGTTTAGGCGGCAGATAGACCTCACTGGTGATCTCGAATCACGTGAGTGAAATGGCCAACAATATGTGCGCCTGCCACCAGTTAAATTTTCAGCTCCAGCGATTTTGGCGGAAAAGCAATTAGGATTTAGAATTAGTGTTCAAATTAAAGAGGAATTAAACAGGCTCAGAGATTAACCCTTTCAGGCATGGCCACCCTTCTTTGGAACTAAAAGCTCACCTTCATCATATCACTGAATCCTCCTCATTGAAATGAAAGGTAGCAGCACTGACATGTGATTCAACAGCCCGGCCTCTCCCTCCCTGCGGGACTGGAATGGTTGATTATATATTGACACTGTCCTCGGTGGAATAGCAGTAATTGTTTTTCTTCTTCCCGTCTTTCCATGGACTCTGTTCTTTTCCTCGCCAGACAAAGTGACAAATCCTGCTTTGAGACTTAATGACGTTTGAAATAGAATTTGAGGCTACAATTATCCTGTCCATACAGACTGTCACAGGAAGGATGATGCCATCTAGACCCAATTATGGGAATGGAGCCACCTGTAACTACTAAGACCAACAAGGGACCGCTGAGTCTGCCACGTGTCCAGCAGCTCTCTGGCTTCAGCTGAGACATTTACATTTATGATTTGGGAGGTGGTGATGCAAAACATAACTTTCTTACTTCTCTTGTACGAATTTTGATTGCTTTTGATGTGATAATTGAACATCGCTGGCACCTGCTCAGCATGGCGCCCACCACCCACCTTCATGCCCACTGAGATAACCAGAGTTCTAATGAATTAGTTGCTGAGCCACTGTATGGTGTCTGCTAACATGAAAACAGTGGTATGGTTTTTTTTAAAACCACCAGAAGTTTTATCAAAATTATAAGTTTTAAATTAATTTAGACAAGAAATGTAGGCGATAATTAATAATTACCACTTTCTCCCTTTTCTACTTCAACTCCTATGTCCTTGTCGCCCTCCTTTTCAGTTTTTCTCTACTTAGACTTCTCATCCAAGCATGTTAGTGCTTCAGCCATCTCTCCTCTCTGCTGTCCCCCTCCTGCAAGCTGACAGTCTTTTTCACTCAGCAGCAGCAGCAGCCTGTAAATGGCTGCCTGATGGAAAGTGACATTTTCACAGAACCCTGCGAGAGAGGCGAGGTGATCTCTCCTCTTTCCAGCACAAAGTGCTCCTAATTGCCTGGTCGCATTTGTGGGCATCAGCTGACAAACTCGTGCAAATCAATAATTCTGCTCAGGGTAGATGTGGGGACACAGGGCCTCTCACCCTGAATACGTGCTGTGAGGGTGTGTGTCCTCACACATACATATAGATGCACACATGCACCTGTAGGTGGACGCAGACATACATACACTCTTTACCCACACACGCACACACACTCCCTCCACCTCACCACCTCTGTGCTGTCTGCCTTAAATTGCAGTGTTTATCCGTGATTCTAAGACCAATAGGGAGAGAGCATCGGAGCATTAAGGGCAGTCACGGTGCCGCTGAAGGCTGAAATAATGGATGGTGGAAATGGCAGAAGACCCAGCGCTGCTCATTACTAAATGGACTCTGCAGAGGTGGAAACTTTGCCCCACTAGCTTGCTATGTACAAAGGACAAAACCACACAGCTTAAAATAGAGGCTTATTTAACAGATTTGTTTGTGTTTTTGTACTCTACTCGGTAATAGCTCTCACTCTAAAAGTTGCTTGCCAAAGAACAGAGAATGTCACAGCAATTTGCAAAGTCTGATTGACTTGTTTCTTGTTTATAAATGGGTTTGGTGTCTTTCTGAGCCCTCTTCCTTCTCTTTGATATTTTCTACAAATTCATTAACGGTAATGGGCTTACAAGAAACCCTTATTATGCCGTATGTATTTTCAAAATGTATGTGTGAGCACATCTCTGTATTTTAATGAATGTCACCTGCTTATTTTCCTGTTTTGCTTTGTTCCCAACTTGACCTCCTCCAGTGTGCACTAATGTATGCCATCTGCTTTCCTACCACAGTCTTCCTAGCTAACATTCCTGCCTTCTTTCTCTCCGCAGGCTCCTCTGTGATGCAGGTGACAGCGACCGACTCAGACGACTCCACCACAGCTAACGGCATGGTGCGCTACCGCATCCTCTCGCAGACACCCCACAGCCCCATCCCCAACATGTTCACCATCAACAGCGAGACTGGAGACATAGTCACAGTGGCAGCAGGCCTGGACAGAGAGGTCAGTGTCAGCGGCATGAACTGTGTCCCTGCTACTCTCATCATTTGATCATTCTGCGTCTCATATGTGTCCACCTGGCCATAAGATGAAACTTTAACTAAAATTCTGTGATTTGATGACAAACACCTTGTCTTTATTATCTTACTCTCATGGCCTTCAGGGTTTGGTTGATACATTCAGAGATTAAAGAAAGCCAGAACACATTTCATTATTTTTTATTCTCATTTGTAAGTGAGTTAACATTTGGTACTGCAGGAATTGTCAATCACGACAATTCAATGTATTGGATGGTTAATAGTATAGAGACAGACAGGTCATGAGGAGGGAGAGAAAGCCTATGCAACAAATATGCTGTTAAAAACATGGTATACCTTTGAACAGAGCAAGGCTGTTTCCCCCTTTATGCTAAGCTAAGCTAACTTTCATTCATACATGTATACACCCAGGAAATAATTCTGCAGTGCATTTTTTGAATTTGCATTTGGTTTAATGTAAACAGCAGCAACAAGACAGTGATGATAATATGGTTTCATCTTCACATAAAAACGGTGTGCATCCACTTTTTCTCCAAACCAGACATTAGTCAGGAGCAGGAGTCCAGGCTGGGCCAGCATGGCTCCTTTCCTGCTTTCTTACCTCTCCTTCTGGGGCAACAGCACCCGCCGTGGTGGGCTGGGCCCATCTGGTCGATCTGGCTGAATGGGCCTCTCAAAGTCTGCTGCTCTTTAATCTAAACCCCACACTTCCTTTTTGAAGCCGAAAACAAATTAAACCAAAAACAGAGAAGTTTGAAATAGCTAGCCAACAAGCCGCAGCATCTAAATGAGCAGCCGTTGCCATAGTCAAAATCTCCTTTTACAGTCAATTTGTAAATTGTTGGCTTAGCCCTGAAAAATCAAACCCAATGAGATATAATTCAATAATATTTTTGAGCAATAAAGACAAAAAAACACATATTAAGACAAAAATGTGACAAGATTGAAAGAGCTTTCCACCCAACTTTAGTTTTAATGTCTTTATCTGGTCTGTTCATCATTTAACTAGGACTGCACGATTTGGTAAAAACATCATATTGTGATTATTTTGACAGATATTGTGATTGCAATATGATTTGCAATTAGTGTGGGAATTATCATTTATGCATCACAAATTAAATTTTCACTGATAAAATCTATTAAAATCATGATGATAGGACATTTTAAGGGCTCTTTACCAAACAAATATGTTTTCTTAAATTTAGAGAATAAGATTTGTGGGCGAGGGAATCTTACATTACATTACAGTACTTCATTATAATGCTGTTTTGTCACACATTTTACCTTTATCCAAAAATTGGAGCTCCTGCTATTTGCATATTGCACTTGGCCATATTGTGATTTTAATAATATTTTGAGTAATTGTGCAATTAAAAAAAGGCAAAATGACACTTTTCAAAAAAAGTTTCAATTATAAGATCTTTGTTAGGAAGGAAAAGTCAGTGAGTGATGTCGTAGCCTGACATTGGACAGGACTCTTAACTGCTAGATTTTTGAAGCCAACACCTCGTTAAAACGGCAGGGAGCTAGAGCAGTAAGAGGCAGAGACAGTTTGAGCTTGTGTAGTTGTTTAGTGTGCAAAGTTCCCAAAGGTCCTTGTGTGTGTTTAATTATGCCATGGTTCATTTCAGTTCTAATAGTTCATATTTTACAACTTACAACGACAGCATGTGCTTTGCATTAGCAGTATGCTCGCTAGTAGGTTACATACCTTGATTCTGTTATTACCTTATGTTCAAAGTTGCATGGATACGTGTTATTGTGAATGAGTAGTTTGGTGCTGCAGAATGTATACTGGCACCTGTAGTTTATATACTGTGTACTGTATAACAGTATAACAGTTATAATTAGACAGAGAACACACACATTTCTGCAGGTGTAAGTTTAATGAAGTGAATATACTGGATTCTGTAAATTGTGCTGTAACCTTGAAACTGTGAATCTGATTGACTGGTGTAAAGTTTAAATCTGAACCCTACCCCTGGTGTTTTTACTGTACTTCACCTCCTTTATAGTCTTTTTTATTCAGCTATAAATTATTCAAATAATTTTCCATCAGCTTTCTAGAACAAACTATATGCCTGTTCTTCTTATAGTATACAATGTTAATGGATGCACAAAAAAATCCCCGGATCCCTGGGTGTAGCTAAAGCTTAAAAAAATCGCTTTCAGCAGCATTCGCCCTTTCAAAAATGCCAAGTAAAACAAACCAAGCACCAATTTAATTAACTCATTCGAGTAATTTGTGTTTTCTCATTGTGTATAAATACAAATGACAGGCTAATATCTAATGTCTGCGTAGTGCAAGGCAGATATAATGGCCACGCCAATTCTGCTGCTGACGAGGTCGTGGCAGCTTTCTCTTCATTTACGTCTTTTGTCTCATCCACTGCTGGTGTGTGTGTCTGTTGCTTGCTGCGGTTGTTTGTCAGCCCACACACCACCACTACAACACACAGTATCTCCGCTCCATCTTGCATCTTATTCTACTAATGAAGGAGGTCACGCGGGGTCGACTTTTGTTTATCCCAAGCTGCGTCGGGTGACTGTGGGCAGTAGTGTTTCATGACTGATTGTTCATCCTGCAGCCTTTCTCTCTCACACTCATTCTCACACACACACACACACACACACACACACACACACACACACACACACACACACACACACACACACACACAAATCTACTCTTATCTCTCTGTGGTGATAGATTTTAAAAGAAATACAACTGGCAAAATCAGGGAAACGTTCAAATTCATATGCCGCAGTTATGAGGATAATCTCATCCTCGTAATTTACTTGGCTGATTTTACTACCGACATTAAAGCACCGTTGAGTGTGTCTCATAATGTTTATATTCTGAGAAGTCCCGCTGGTCCCTGTCGGCACTAAACCCGGCCAGGCAACACTTTGGAAATTAAAGCAGGATTTTACCAAGAGTAAGGTGAGCATATTTGGACAATAATTGCGGTTAAAATCTCAAGAACAAAACCAGGTTTTGATAACAGAAGAATACAGTACATCAATGCTTTTTCCTTATCCAAATTTTATACAGAGCTGGCATGGCATGATAGCGTGATACATTTGTGGGACAATATAAATGAGTCTAGTGAATGCGAGCCAGCTCTGTGTCCCTGTTTCCAGCTTGGCCCAGGCGGCAGCAGTAGCAGCTGATGTGAGTGAGGGAAAGCTCATTAATCTGGACACATCAAGCCAGGCTCAGTCCCACCTGCCTCTGATCCTCCCACTAAAACTGGGACACACCTGGGAGTTCACCCACCTGCTGTCAAGGTCATCAACACAAACACACAAACAGCCTCAGACGCAGGGGCACCTATTCGCATACACACTCCCGTACAGTTAGGTTTGTTGTTTAGAAGCAGCAACGCTCACACAGGAGTGAGCAGTAGCAGCAGATATGATGAATGAGATGGTGTCAAACTGGATCCATGCAGCGGGGTGGTGCATACACATGCTGCGACACAGAGACACAAGTATGCATACCCACTTTATTAACACCTTTGCAGGGTATGCTTTATATTCTTTGTCTCCTCTCCCATCTCTTTTTCTCACACTTTAGCTAATCCTCATCCACAACTCTGGTGTCTAATTAGAATATTCATGTGCTAATTAAGGGGTGAAGCAGGTTCTCTCGTGTTGAGGAGACCAGGGGGTACATGGAGGTTAGCCTCGTATCACTTACCTCTGACACCACTGAATACCAATTATTCTCCCTCACTTGCTGCCCGCAACCCCTCTCCTCCCATGACCTCACATGCTCCTGCCCACAGGCTGACAAGCTGGGCTAAACCATGTACATGTGCGTTTGACTCTATACATCCTAAATTATAGTAAATGATAGTGAGTATAACATAATATTTGTATGTGAGTGTGGGTTTATTTTTTTTGTATTTGTGATGGACTGCTTTTAAGGGGCTGGGGGACAGAACTAAGATTACAAGTCAGATTGCAGAAGGTGCAGGTTTAGGTTGGGGTTTGCATAATTTTGTGCTTGTTTATTTTTATATATGTTGCACTAAAAAGACACTCGCCTTTCAGTCTACTATAGAAGGAACACATTTATAATAATGGTGCAGCAGGTAGCAAGCAGAGTGGGAGATGTCAGGGTGCCACAGCTGGCATGGATGTTCTCCCTTTGTGCCCTCTCTCCATGGCTCCGGTTCCACTGGCAGCCAGAGCTGTTGTCTTTCATTACCCCAGGCTGTCTCAATCTCCCATGAGCCCTGGACTGGAACAGTCTGGCGTGGCATGGTGTGGTGTGGCCTGGCGCCAGGCTGTCCACCAGGCTTATGCCAGCTCTACGTTGGACTGTCTCGCCGTCGATTAGGACATCGGCTGGACTGCCTCAAGGACATGAGTGCCCACAGTCTATAGCTCCATTCAGACCTGCAGAGTCTGGGGATACAGACACAGAGCAGGCATCCTAAATGGGTCTGGGGCTTTATTGTCTCAGAGAAATGCTGAGTTATGTTAACTCGCCCCCTAGCATCAGAGCTCCAGGAGCCAGACAACAAAGCCATCGGAGGATTGTGAGCAGGTTGCTGAATGAACAATATAGATGCATTCAGGTGGATGTTGACTGCTTGTAGCCAAGATTCAATGAAGAAACTATCCACTCAATATTTCACCTTATAATGTGCACCTAGCTAGTATTGAATTGGACCGTGTTCTGTCTTTGAAATTGTTGCACTTGTGCCCCTCTAGTTTCAAATCGTGTTTGATTTGTAGATAATGCTTTTCTGTTTTGGTCTAGGTCAGGTTTACTCTTTAAACAGCCTTTAGATAAATATTCACTACCAAAGCAAAATTTTTGCAGACATTTCTTTTGTCCGTTCTAAGGGTTTCCTGCTTTTCCCTTAATGACTTTTTGACACCAGGCTATTCTTTAAAAGGGCTTAATCTCATTTGTTTACAATAGAGTTCATCTAATACTCCACTGTTAGCCCCCAGAAGGCCCCTGTGGGAGGATGATTTGGGAGGAAATACAAAATGACCTATGGTCAGCAGTGTACCTTACTTGCATTACACCCATGCCGTCTACAGTCTTAAACAATGTTCCACAAACATGAAACCAACCCAGCCAACACCAGCACCCACCTGCCACCGTCTCCTCCACCAGCGACAACAGGGTGCCTCCGCCCCAGATGCTCCCACATCTCCAAATGGAGTTGGCATACCACACCAGCACAACAGCAAAGAGCGCAAATAACGACAACTTTACCTAAGTACCTGAGTACAGCCTCACAGCCAGTAGCACAGCAGCAAACTCTTTTCTTATTTCAATATATCAGAAGGATTAACTTTCCACATTACCCAATCTGCAATTACCCCGCTAGATGCCACTAAATCCGACACAGTGGACCTGGAATCAACATGTTAGAAACCTTCCATTGTGGCAAGATTTTGATGACAACCTGCCCTCTTTTTCCTTCTTGATGACAGATGAGAAACCTGACATGATCTGCTAATGTAGAACAAGAAGCATTTGCATGCTATCTGGCATAACAGTTTTTATCTGTCCGTGACCTCCTGGAGCCAGAAAGTCTGAGAACAACACGTCCATCATGCTCATATTTGCTTAATCATGTCCTGTCTATTGTATTGTAATACTCACTTGGATGATAAACTAAACTTCATGCCCAGTCATGTTGCGTTCTTTATTCTAACAGCTTTATTCATATGACTCACAGCCTTTATTTATCCAGTATGTGACTCTGAGCTGTTTGCGTAAATGTGGAGGCGTATCTAATCAAGTGGATTCTGAGTTTATATCCCAGATTTACCTACGTATCTGAGTGACTGTTTGTACAATGGGTTTCAGAGAATAGGGCACAGCTTGCAATAAGTCATCACTGGCTTGTGTTTGTGTCCTCAACCAGCTTGAGAGACATCCCAGCAGGGGATGAAGAGACGGATGGGTGATGAAGATAGAGACTAAACAGACGTGTCTGCTTATTTTGGTGCTACCTGGGAAAATGTCTAAACAACTGTGTAGACGTGAAGTGTATTTCACAACCAGAATCCCCCCAACTGCAGCTGTAACTATAGAAGTGTTAGTGTTCCAACATGTGTAACTGAACTGAAATAAATTGAACTGATTTGAACCGAACTAAAATCTAATGAAGTGGAATCGAATAGCATCAGATCAAATTGAATACATTTAATTGAAGTGATCTCAGCTGAACTGGACTGAGACTGTAGTTGGGGTCACTGACACTGACAGTCACTGAGGCAGAGAGAGAGTGTAGTCAAAGGAAAAAAGGGAGCTGGTCTCCACAGTTGTCGCCACGAGAACCAGGCCATTTGAGACAGATTGTAAGTGACAAACTAATGACTGTGGCCAGTAGGAGCCTGGCAGGCCGGAACTCAACCTAGAAACAACACAAGTAAAAGCAAGTCTCTCACTCGTCTGGCCTCTCCCTCTTTTACCCTCTTTGAGTGGTCCTTTACAGCGGACCAAGTGGAAATGCACACTCAGCTCAGGTATAATTAATTCACCACTGTACGTGTTTTGCCAGAAAACCACTCCTCTCCATTTTCTTGTTCGACATCGCCTTACACGTTCAGACCATTATTTCCCCCACTTTGTTCTTGCTAACAAAGTCTCACAGGAGCACAAGTCCATTTGCCTACAAACCAGCAGGCAGGTTTTTTCCACCTGTCCTGCCGGCTGCTTGGCTTGACTTGTCGAGTAGCTAACATTGATAGCCTGAAGCCATTTTCCTATTTCTTTCTTCAGTCTGCTGGATGGTAAACTACCTAATTTGGTCTCCGTGAAAAAAGGGATTGGGTTTTATTGTTGGCGGGGTTCTGTGTACAGGTGTTTCTGTGGCCTTTCAGCTTCTGCAGATTAAGTCCATGAGGCTCAAGGCCTGTGGGGGACTCTAGGCTGTTGGTCATGAGAAGCGCTATTTCCTGCCAGCACTGGACTCTAATCTAACAGAGAGATTTTCTGTTCAGCACTTCTATAGGACTCATTAGAGAGCCCTTTACTGGCTTGTTCGGGCAGCCACTTATGGACAGCAGAGTGTGCTTGCCTGCCCGTGTGTCTGTGTGTGTGCATGCGTGCGTGTGTGTCTGTGTGTGTGTATTTGGTGTGCACATTCACGTGTATCCCCGGTGTAAGAGTCTGAGTGTCCCACCTGTTCCCACTCACTGGAGCGTTAGCGGATATGTATGTGTGCACTAGAAGGGCCATAAACTCACAACTACCCTCAGATGAGTGATATAACCCTGCAGGATAGGACGCATCAGCCACATCTCCTACTGTGTGACAGCTCCACCTGCTGGCTCAGCTCCAGTCATTTCTCTTCACCTGACCAAAGAAAAAGGCGTCCATCAAAGCCGGAGCCTATTAGCTTCCTACAGCCATCTGGTGCTATTTCTAGATTGATGTATATGACCGGATCTAAATGAGTCTGCAGAGACACACATTCATTGGAGGCACTATTTACTGAAGCGCTCTATGAGGGGAGATGGTATTGATATTTCATTATGAGTCTAATAAAGGGCAGCCAGTATTGAGTTTTCATTAATAGGGTTGGTTTGATGCAGATTAACATGTCTGCGCACTTCATAATGACTTGGAGAGATGCTAAATGACTCCAGCTGGGTGTTTTAACTGGCCTCAATGGTTTGACTGATCAAACAATCAACTGCATCCTTCACGACTGAAAAAAAGGAGTGGGAGGGAGAAAGATATAGAGATACACAGAGACTCGCAGAAAGACAGACAGAGAGATAGACAGATAGAGAACAGACAGGCGGAGAACACTGAGCGACCAAGATGTGATGGGAAAGATAGCAAGAGATCAAAAGAAGCACAGAATGTGAGTTAACAAAGAGAACTGAATAAACCAGAGGAGGAAAAAAAAGAAAAAAGCCACAACTCAAAGAAATAAAAAAGCAAAGAAGCAGCCACCTAAGAAGCAAGCAATAACTCCCCCATCGACACCTACAAGACCTCTGCCTGGGTTTGTTCTCGTTCCTCCAGGCAGTTCCTGACATTAGTGTCACTGGCCGTCAAGTTGTTAGAAAGCGTGACCTCGGGGTGAATGCAGCAAAACTAGCCTAGCAACAAACGAACACTAGACCATCGATAATACGCATTGTGAATGCTGAACATATCAGCAGGCCCCCGTACGCCGAACACTGGCCTGTCCTTGACGTCCATTCTCTCTCCCTCTCTGACGTTGCTGTGGCACAATGGAGGTCTGAGCCAAATGGATTAATAGAAAGAAAAAGAGTCCACAAAGCATATACAGGCTTATGCAGGCAGAGGGAGAAAGAGAGTCCTCTTTCCAGTGATGAGTCTGGGGACTGACTGAGTTTTCAGCACCATGGACAGTGTCGTGTGCTGGAATATGGATGCACTGTCTCTCTGTCTCTTTGTTTTTCCGTTGTGTCTGAACAAAGCTCAATGTTTGATGATGTTTCTTATCATAGCACAGTAATATTGCAGTGTGGGCTGCAGTGCGCTCTGGGGCAACTCCCCCTCGCTGTTAACTGGACAAAATAAGGCCCGTCCACCTACTGGTATTATCTGCAGCACTGTGGCGTATCTCAAAGTGGCGGCATTCCATTAAAATGAGTGATGATCCAGGTCTGTTCCCACAGTGGATAGCTAAGACTTTTTGGCAATAATGGATGGGCATTTAACCAACACATTGCTCCCTCCCTGCAACTTTGTGTATGTCTGTGTGTGTGTGCGTGTGTGGTTTACTATCTGTTGTTGCGCAAATAAGGTAGTCTAACAGACTCCAGTTGTTCTGTTGTTCCAGTGAGTGGGTAGCTCTGAAAGGGGGATAAGATGTATGTATGTGTGGCTGGTAGCTTCAAGCATTCATTCATATGACTCAAAGTGTCATTGTCACATGTTTTTTTTTGTTGACTGAGTCCTCTGTTTTTGATATACCAGTTCCTGAGTATGCTTTTCTCTTTTTCTGCTTCTTTTTACAGAAAGTGTCCCAGTATACCATCATTGTCCAGGCTACTGACATGGAGGGCAACTTGAATTTTGGCTTGTCCAACACAGCCACAGCCCTTATCAGCATTACCGATATCAATGACAACCCCCCAGAGCTGACGGTCAGAACGGTGAGTCCTAAACTGATCTGTGTAAAATGACTAAAAGGTGGGATGTGGGGTTCCTTTTGCTGAAGAGAGGGATTTTTTTCATTTTTTGAGAGAGCAGTGGAGGGTCCTTTAACTTTTTCTCATCCCAGTTTATATTTTATTTAATTCTTCCCCTGTGAGATTTATTATAGAATGAGCTACATCACCAAGATGGCTTCTGTATGCGCCACAAGTAATAAAAGTGCCCTTTGGCCATATGTAGAGTATAAGTATGGCTTTATTTTTCTCTTCAAAATCAGCAGTCTCTCTTCTGGTGGCTGTTAGAACCATTTATTTAACAGCTCTGATAAAAAAATTGAGAGTAACTGTATTTTCATCATTTTGTTGTTGACTATAAATGTATTATTTTAGCATATGGTAAGTATATGAATAAGTATAAGATATAAGGATAAGATTCAGCCACCCTCTCCACCCCAGTAATATCCGTACATTCCATATGAAGAATGTATGCCTATATGCCATAACTGGAAGGTCTGCCAAACAGCTTCATCTCAGGGCTTGACCCTGTATCTTCATTTCAACAAATCCATATTCAATTGCTATGCTACCCCCGTATTACAACCATAGACCTTTATAATACATTGAGTAGATGAGGGTATATTATTCTTTGGTGAAACAGGTTGCACATGCCGCCAAGTGAAAGAATGCTCTCAGATATTATTAGAAAATACATTATCTAGTCCCTGTCAAACACAACAATCATGCAATTGTAGCAACTGAAATACATTTTCAGAACATTGAGATGAGGGGAATGCATATACAACAGCTGGCAAAGATGTAGGATAAGGACAGATATAAACAACACAGTCACAGATAAAGAAACACTGTACAAGAACAACATATAGAGAGACAGAAAAAGATGCTGTGACTGAAAGTGAGATCAAGATCAGTTTTGTTGATGGGAGGTATACTCCTCCCTCCCTTCCTGTGTGTATTTTCCCTGCCAAGGGGGCCTCTGGTGGCAAGGGCTCGTCTACAGGCATGTGGCCCTGGTCCTTGATACCTCCACATTGAACTATGACAGTGTGCGTGGTTAGGTGGGGAGCTGTTTGTTTTTGAGAGTGAGGGTTACTATGTGAAAGGTTATTGATGAGGAAAACAGGAACTGAAAGCAGAAGTGTGAATGCATGCCTTTAAGTTTCTGCATCTTTCCCCACAAATAGCATGTATTCTCTAGTCTCAGCCTGGTGAAAGAACAGAATCAAATGCTGACCGCAGCTTGACAGACCTACAGGATTGTAGCTGCTCTTTATGTGAGCTCTCGGATTTCTGAGATTCCAGAGAGAGACAGATGCTGTCTGCTGCCGAGCTCAGAGGCAGAGCAAGCAGTGTGTCAGCGTCACACACTGTGATCCCCGTCTCCTCGGCGGGGCCGTCGGCAGCGTGCATGCCAGTACAGTTCCAGCCGCGTGCTCTGATAAGAGCTCCCCAGCTGTCAGGGGTGGAGCTCGTCGAACAAGGCTGCCGCTCCGCTCAGAACTGCTCGGTCCCCCGTCTGTGGTGCTGGCTCCATCACCGCTCTTCACTGGGGAGGAGCTCTGGACCAGAGTCCTCCCGCTAGCCAGAAAAATGGACATGCTGCGCTTCAATAGACATACAGAAACACATGTGCGTTGTCCTTGACATATAGAGTACACAGTGATGAGACGTGCACAGACATGTATGCTCACACACACTGTGATAAATGTTTGTTGTCTCTTCAGGGCTGCATTACTTTCCATGCAACCCTCTTGAGAAAATGACTGTAAATTTGCCTGAGCGTCTCAGTAAAGGAGCAGTTTCTCATATTTTGATGTGCAATTCAAGAATGGTAATGAGTAAAAATTTGTAAAAATATGTTTTTGTTGTATGTCCTTCACGTAGACACAAACAGCCACACATGAAACATTCCCGGGCAAAGAAACTGTTCTTCACCAGATGCCATTTCCGCTGCTTTGTCAATCTCTACTTTTTGTTTTGCCTCCCACACAAGCAACTAGACTTGGAGCAGTTCAGTAATTATTTGTGCATGACAGACGCGAGAAGAATTTATTGCTCTCTATGGGAGGCATAGAGAAAACATAAGCAGGCTAATTAAGTGAAATTGCTTGTGGGGGTGTAAACCAAGCTGATATATAGCGTCTAATTTGAAAAAATGTTTTATTCATATCACCACATGGGCCTTAACATGTTATGTTAGTGCTATGTTCATCATTATGTGATAACAAAAACACAAAGAAGGTATTTCTATCTTTCAAATCAAATCAAGTGTATCACACCCCTGCTAAAGCTCCCCCAGTGGTTTTTCAATCACTTTGACAAGAAGCAGGAGAGTTGCTTGCTTGTGGGGTTGAAAGCTTGAACTCCCAGACGCACAGGTTTACAGATCTGAATGAGTGCTGAGTGCTATTTGTGATTCACCTGTAGAGCTGCAGCTTCTAGCTTCTAAATACCTGAAAGAGTTGGAGTGCCATTCACCACTTTCCTCTGCCTCCCACTCGTCGACTTTGATTTGTGTTAAAACAGAGAAGTCTGCTAGAAAAGCAGCTTGTTATGTCTGTATAACATAAAAAATGAGAGGGTAGATGCCTATTGCCAGCAGCTGTATCTTTAATGCACCATAGTGAAGACATAATAGCCATCTTAAGTGGACTGATGTCAGTCTGATATTAGTAAGAGTCTGTTTTGGGACATTTATTCCTATATAATGTTGTCATTATCATTTGGTGTTGTTTTCAACACCCCATGAAGGAAAGGAACAGCTCATTTAGTCTTGCTCAACTGTAGGTCTGCCGTCTAAAACTGAACATTTTCCTTTGCTGAATCAGTTTTCAGTAAGAAGGTAGTAGATTTCCCCTACAGGGCACTGCACCTTGATGCACATTTATTTTCCTAAATGTCTGTACAGCACTGTAGACCCTCTAATGTCTCCTGGCTGACTGCCGCTCACATGTTTGAAGGCTAGTCTGTGGACAGTTTTAAACATAATAATCAGAAGTGATCAGGCAAAAGGGACCATGTATCTAGGTTTTGTGAGTGCTGACCTTTAATTTAGTTTTTAGAGGTATTCAGTCTGTGTGTGGCCAAATCTGAATCTTGAAAATAATCTGACTGTGCTGAATCACCATATAGTCACTAACCAAATCAGTAATTTAACTTTAACTTCCTTGTTATGAGATTGAAAGACCACAGAAACAATCATAATGTGATCATTTTTGCAAAACAAAGGCTGCTGAACCATTAATCTTAGAAACAGTGCTTGTATAGAACTGGCTCTGTACTGAACTGAATGTATGAGCTTGAACTCGCAGCAGACTGAATACTGCTAAAATAACGTTACATGTGATGCATTCACTTACTTTTGTACATTCTGAAGTTCATTAAAAAGGCGATGCGTTTGCTTAGCTTACAAAAAAAGTGAACCTAATAAAGTTCTTGACTTGTTGAGTGTTTAAAAAGGCAAAGCACATAAAGTGTATAAAGCCCTATAAAGTCAGGATAGTCTGTAATATGGACAAAATCTTACATAACAACTCAAATTAAAGTTTAATGATTCATTTTATTTTTGTCTCATTTCAATGTTATGTTCTCTGGCAAACGGAGGTCCCATTTGACAATTACCTACAATTGAATCTTATTTGCCCTGCTTCTTTTTCCCCCTTCTTTGTAACTACAAAATCCTTCAGAAACTCAAAGTCTGTGTCTCTAGTGGCTTATCAATGGGTCCACATTGCATTTTAGAGAGAGTGGCCATTTTGGAAGCATCCTCCCCTACAGTCAGCACCATTGTGTATGCCTCTAAGAGAGCATATTCCATTTGGCCGTCTGACAGCACGGCCCAAACAAGCTTGGAAGGTTTGTGGTGGTGTTTGTGCTAAAGCTTGGGGTGAAAATGAAATGGAGCAGCCCACACACCAGAGACTGAGAGTGCATATTTAATTTGTTCTGTGCTTATCAGCCTGGTCGTACTGCGGGGGATAGAGGAAGAGGGGCATGGAGGGAGGGAGGAAGAGAGGGAAAGAAAAGGAAAAGAGGAATCGAGCGGTTTGGACGCTGCTTCGGTCCCACGATGATGAAGCCATTAAAGTGAACAGCAGCTGGCAGACACACACCATAAACAAGTTAACGCTTCACAAGAGGAAACACGGATTATTGTCTGACAATGAGGGCTTTTAGCATGCCTGTGCGTGTGTGTGTGTGTGTGTGTGTGTGTGTGTGTGTGTGTGTGTCTACCTTTGAGTGCCCATCCCTCTGTAGCCAGATAAATCCCTATAGAGAAAGACATGTATCCCATAGCGCTGTAAATTCTTCTTCAGGCTCTGCAGCTGTCACCAAGTTTCCTCCAGAGTTAGTTCAGAGGGGAGTTGTTTCAGATTGCAATATAATGAAGATCATTAGCCAAAGATTATTCCTACCGCTGCCTTAATTACAGTACTTATCTAATTGCTTATTAAGACCTAGATTTGGTAAATGCACGGAATCTAAATTAAATGGGTAAACACTTAATTGAACAAATCCATTAGTTCAAATAAAGAGTTTCATATGAGCATGGAGTGGAATAAGGGACAACATTAACATAATGAAAGATATGATTCTCTATTATCCACATTTAAACTTCCTTCTTTTTTTTATCTTCCTCTGCCATCTATCTAATTTCTCCCCCATTTGTTTTTGCACCACTTTCAATTCATGTTCCAATGTAATGAGCATTATTGGCATGACCCTAAAAGCAGTTTGTTTTCATAATAACAATTATGGGAAATGCTCAAAGATTGATGATGGCACAAGCAAATGTTTAGACTCTCAATAAATCAGCTTATTAACATGCATTAGCCGACTGCTGGAGCAACATCAGCATAATGTTATCTCTCCCATCCTCCCCACTGTCACCTCCTCCCCCCCTCTCTCCTGTTCTGTAGTTTTCAGGGGAGGTGCCAGAGAACAAGGTGAATGTGGTAGTGACCAATCTGACGGTGGTAGACAGGGATCAGCCCCACAGTCCGAACTGGAACGCCGTCTACCGTATTGTCAGCGGAGACCCCTCTGGACATTTCACTATCCGCACCAACCCCATCACCAATGAGGGCATGCTGACAGTGGTCAAGGTAAAGTGGAAGCCTCTGGCTTCACTCCACACATCCTGATGTCTGATATTTAGATCTTTAAAAATAAAAGTGTACAGTTTATTATTATTCAGCGCCGCATCTTGTATTCTTCCACCTGCTCTGAAGTGCCAGATGTTGATGACTGAGTGCTTTGGTCTCACATTGTTTTCACTGAATTATATGTCATTGCTCAAATTGGAACACAGTTAGAACCAATCTTGCAATCAGCTACACTCATTTTCCTCCCATCTCTCATCATTCTCTCTATTTATCTCTCTCTCCTCTCGCCCACCTCATTGGCTCCTTCACTAGCCGGTGGATTTTGAGATGAATCGTGCCTTCATGCTGACTGTGGTGGTGTCCAACCAGGCCCACCTGGCCAGCGGCATTCAGTCCTCGCTTCAGTCCACCGCTGGAGTCACCATTTCAGTTCAGGATGTGAATGAGCCACCGGTCTTCCCCGTCAACCCCAAGACGATCCGCTTTGAGGAGGGTGTGCCCGCAGGGACCACTCTGACTGTGTTTGCTGCTCAGGACCCTGACCACTTCATCCACCAGACTGTCAGGTACATCCCAATATGGACGGTTCACCTATTTGCTGAATGTGATACATAAGTAATCTGACACAACAGAAGTGCACTTTGAACGTTCTGATCAGCATATTTTCACCAAACCAGCTGTGATATGGTGAACACGTTAGCAACAGGTGATTATCTACATAGCATTACCAGCATACGTGGAGCAACATCAGCATTACTTTGGAGATAAGTTTCTGTCTGTCATTTCAGTCCATTATTCACTCTTCTTTTAGCTCTGTTTTGGTTCCCACCAACTCCTGAAGGAATATCTGCTACATCTGGCTCTTTAGCTCCACTATGTTCATCAGTTAGACACTAACTTTATCTTGCAGCTGTTTGGCGCTGTTTGGTAGCTTACAGTGAGTAAAGCTTTTTGCCTGAAAACTGCTCCCTTGTTTGTCTGGAAACGAGTTTGATGGGAGTAGTGAGACTGAACCAAAACAGTTAAGTTGCAGGCCGTGAAAAGTACTGTCGAGCTGAGGAGAACTGCAGTCTGGGGATAATTCTCAACCCATTTCATTTGTAATCTCTTTGTGTTTTTTTAACTTATATTTGATTATATCTTATACAGTGCAATACATTTTAATATGTCATTTTTTTATTTTCCAGTTTCCAGTTGCATTTATATAAATTATAACTTCCTCTGTTATAAATGCATTCAGATTTAATATTACAGTAGTCAGTGGTAGGGGACTGACGCTCTGATGGCCAAAGACTACTTGATAAACAGATATAGTGAAGAATTTCCAATATTTTGTCTCCCAAAGAATTAAATGAGTGTCACCAGTGTTTTATTAGTGGTGAATGCTTTCCCCACAGTTTGTCCCTTTTCTGTGACTTTCAGCCGACCCCCTCGCCCACATGCCAAGCTCCAGTTACCTCCCCGTTGCCAGGCGACTGGTGTGAAGAGGTCATTCTGTAATGAGTTGGACACTGTCTAGCTGCCCTCCTCAGGAGATCCTTATCTCCTTCTTCTCTTCCTCCTCATTGATCCCTCCCTCCATCCTTTACTAACTGGGATGACACACAGCGGGCATCGTGCCATCCAGGCATCGACCCTGTGTGATAGAAACTCCCACATGCCCACTGAGGTCCAGCGGCACCGTTCCACTCCATAGCCTGCCCCAAAGAGGGAGATTGATTTTTCTTAATGTCAGTGAGACGGCCTCTTCTCACTGAGGGACCCAGTGGAAATGTTACTGAATTGATAGCGGGGGAGGCAGTGGGAGATGTACTCACATATATATACTGTACAGAAGAGTGAGCAATATCCGCATCTCCGGTTCCTTCTCCCTAAAAAGACAAGTCATGCAAACTAAGTGGGCTGAGCTCTTCTGCCTTTTGAGAGAAGTAACTCCTCTTTTATTCTCTTACCTCTCATGCCTCCCCTCCTTCCCGCTCCCGCTGACCCTGTCACTTTCTTCTCTGTCAGTCTGTGGGTCTGTTATTGATGGGACCTCAGAGCTGCTGTCTTCTCCAAAGCAGCTTGCCAGCAGACACTCAGCTCATGCTCAGACAGCCTCATCTCTGCTGCTGCTGCTGCTGTATTCCCTTTAGGTGACCTCGCTTGAACCCCCGCTAAAGCACACACAAAAGACACCGAAATGCACAAGTGTAGACTCGCAAACACACGCAAACATGCACACGAGCATCCGCCAAGGATCGGTGAATGGCCTGTGCGTGAGCTGTGTATTTCTTGTTTTTCTCTCTCTCTGGCGGAAATGAATGAGAAGACGATGTAAGGCCAGCTGACTTTATTGTTAGACGTGATTTAACTGGCAGAAACAGCTAATTTATGTGTGTTTTTCTGTTCTTGTTAGTATTACAATATTAGCCCTGTGAGGCGATGTTTGTTGGTCCTCTACGTCTATTTCACATCTTGATTTAGGGCTTATGTTCAGGATTAGTTTAAATTGTACACATGCAATTTAGTGTTGCATTTCCATGAATGTGGGAAACTCATGAGAGACAGATTAAAAAAAGAACATCCAAAATAAAAGCAGCATGGGCTGAGGTATCCTGACATTTACACGTCTATGCAGCCCGCATAGAGGGAGCACCACTACAATTCCTGCAATGCAACTCAGTGGCGTCTTTTATTTGATCTTTGTAACTGTCCCTTCTTTCAAACCCCACTCCAACATTTCCATCACATATTTTTTTCTTCTCCTCTGATCTTATTAAAACCCAATATGGAAAAATATTGGGTTTTAATAAGATCCCTTCTCTCTTCCACAAACTGACTTTACATTTGATGGTAGCAAAAAACTGAAATTTCCAAACGACACCAAATAATAATATATAATATACCTCCTGTAATGTCTCTTATGAATAAACAAATATACCTATTTAGGATTTAGGAGGGAAAGTGCTGAATAAAAAGCACTGTCAACAACACTTACAGATATGGAGACTCTTAAAATCTGTTGTATTTTATCATGTTTTACAGCTGTGCTCACTGAGAGCCCAAACAGAAGTAATGCATGATTTTCTGTCATGGTCTTCTGAAACATGTTATTAGTTCAAAAACCATGTTTATAAGCTATTCTCGTGAAATTATTAAAGCTTATAAAACAGTAATTTAGGGTATGTTGTTTGAGCTGTTAAAGACAGCCCAGAGTCTCCAGGACCCCAAATAAAGCATTAAGGTTGAGGCAGTTGCCACAAGTGTATGTAGTAAGACCCTTTGCTCTGCCAGCTGCAGGTGAAGACAGCAGGAGGTGACATCTTGTTGGCAGAGGAAGGAGATGAGAGTGCCAGTCAGATTCTAACCTGCAGAGCAAAATCAGATCCTGACTTACACTGCATGACAAGCTCTTTCACTAGAAATGATATCTATTCTCGTCTATTTATTTTATTCTCTCAAGAAAAATGTTTTAAATAAATATACGATGGTGGGTGTCCCCGTCAGCATGTCTCTCTGTCTGTCTGTCTGTCTGTCTGTCTGTTTGCTAGGTGTGTTCCGGAAGTGTGTCTTTAGTTGGAGGTGGGATTAGTTAGCTCCATGCCTGTGAGCTTAAACAGTGTCAGACTTTAATTAAGCCCCCTTTCCCCCTCAGCACTGCCACTGCTTACATTCAGAAACAGGCATCTGATCTCTCTCGCTTTTTCCTCTCCTCCCCCACCTCCTCTCATCACGGTGACACGCAGGCCATATACCTACCCCTGAAACTTCCCTCTTGTCAACAATTAACCATTAGACCTGAGAGACAACTCTCGGTCAGTTGTTATAAGACTCGTCATAGCTGTTAATGGGATTTATGGACTTTAATTGCAGCTGTCACTTTCCACTCCGTTGATGTCACGGCCGGTGACGGCTGCTGTGGCGGCTGTGTGGGTACAAAGAGTGCTGAAGTTGTTAAGAGCACTGCTTGGCTGCTCTGCATATGGGTTCAGGTTTTCATCGGTCTTCATGCTAATGAGCTGCCGCTATGATAAGCTTGGTGAACATATGTTCCGCTCTCCATGTCACTGTTATATTTCAAAGGTGCTTGGTTGGTATTGCTTATTATGGTAATGAACATTCAACTTGATAATGGGTACTTTGGATCAACAAATAAAAGATTCAGAGCTGCTGGAATTCAAGTAACAGTTGGCCGTTAATGTGTGGAATATGTTTCTGTGGATTTACGTTTGGATTTAATGAAGTATCTGGCTTTCTCTTTGTCTGTTTATGTGTGTGTGTGTGTGTGTGTGTGTGTGTGTGTGTGTGTGTGTGTGTGTGTGTGTGTGTGTGTGTGTGTGTGTACAGGTACTCCAAGCTGTCAGACCCAGCTAACTGGCTGAAGATCAACAGGACCAATGGTCAGATCACCACCATGGCCCTGCTGGACCGAGAGTCCATGTACGTCAAAAACAATGTGTATGAGGCCACATTCCTAGCATTCGACAATGGTAAGTCGGGTAAGTCAGGATGACTGTGTGTGTCTTGATTATGTGATAAACAATAGGACACTTATGGGACAAGGGGCATACCAGACTGGAATTTCTAAAAAACCATTCATGGCCTCCAGAGGATGAATCCTAATGACTCTGGTGATCGTTTTCCTCTAGCGCCACCATGGGGTTGACGTTTTTAACTGAAAGATCAGTATTGGTAGAATGCCAAGAAATGTTAATTGTAATACCTTTGGTGATCCTTTAACTTTTCGTCTAGTGCCATCATGAGGTCACAATTCTACGTTTCCCAATACTTTGGTTTATGACCAAATACCTGTTAAGCTAATAGCATCAGCCTCAGTAGTAGTAGTAGTTGTAGTGATAAATAGCAAATATAAGCATGCTAACACACTAAACTGAGGTGACTTTACACCTGCTAAACATCAACATGAATGTTAGCATTGTCACTGTGAGCATTATAGCATGCTGATCATAGCATTTTGCTCATGTCTATTCACAGCCTGACATAGCTGCTATGGCTATTTGTTTGTCTGTGTGTTTGTTTGTCTGTTGTTGTAATTATGAAGGTCAGCTTTACTTATACATTTTAAATCATCATCTGACTGACCGGAAGCTGTCTGTTACTTTTTTTCATCATCATTCATCATAAGAATGAAAGTGCCGTAGGAGGGGATGAATGTAATGGTCACAAAATTATAAAGTAACACATGTCTTGACATATTTCCCACAACTCAGGCATTGATTATTTAAAACGATCACATTATGAAACATAATGTATTATATTATATATTGGGTTGGTACCTTAAAGGTCCAGTCTGTAACGTTTGTGAGGATCTATTGGCAAAATTCAAATATAATATGCAGAACTATGTCTTCATTAGTGTATAATGACCTGAATTTAGGAATCAGGGCAGTGTTAGTTTATATTGGTCTAACGGATGACACAGGTTCTCCATTACAAAAGTGAAAATGACTGAGGAAGACTTCACATTTTACTTACACAAAAGCAGAGCAAGCAGACAAATATAAGTTGTACTGTATGTGTTAAATACGTCACTCCCCTACTAATTTCCTGCCAGATACCCTATAATGTGGGTAAACTGTGAATAAATGGGACATCTATTAGTATACTATACAGTATACTGTATATAAATATGCACTGACCGTCATTGCCCCATCTCTGATAGAAAAAAGAAGAAGAATATCAGCCAATGAACTAAGGTCTTAAGAATCAGCCTCAGGTGCTTGGAACAATGTATGAAGCTAAAGTACTAAAGCACTACAAATAGAGGTGCTTGCTCTCTGTGTAAGTAGGAGGGACCCAGGTGTTTTTACTCCAGTGAGAAATGAGGGATTGGCTGCCCCGAAGCACACCAACTTAAGCTCAAACTGTTGACTGCCTATTGATTCTGTAGCCTAGTGTCAACAAGGGGATATATTCTACTTTGATTGAAATTCTCTTTACTTATTCTATACTCAAGCGAAGCGTAAGAAGCAACAAAGCACCCAGCCAATCATAACCGACAAGACGGTCGATGGGCCTTGGGGCCTGGGGCAACAGACCTTTACATAGTTGATGCACCAAGTTACAGTCTGATAGAAAAAAAAAGTTGAAGTACAACACTGATGAGCTACTGGGGTAAACTCTATGCTGCACTGCATCAGGAATTTTGTTCAGCATGCTGACAGGCTGCGTGCAGGGGGTTGTCAGCTGAATATCAAGGCCACAATATATCACTGCAGTCTGTTTGTTCAACAGATCAGTGCACACACTTTCTTCAGCCGTAGTTTGGGGTGATCAGAAGTGGTGTCACTGATGAATATTTAGGATTATCAGCAGCGGAAGAAATATTCAGAGAAGTAAAAGTTGTAACACTTAATTACAAGTAAACATCCTGCATTCAAATTTGTGCTTAAAGTATTATCAGCAAACTGTAGTAAGTGTCAGAAGTGAAAAAGTTCTCATTTTGCTGACTGACCCCTTTTAGAGTGGTATATATGAGTGGTATACCTTATAACTTTCAGTGGAATTTTAATGTGACAATACAAACTAGATTAAACAATGATTCTATACCGATGTTAATCATGCACTGCAAAAATGACTTACTGAGCTTCTGGATTTACATGTGTCTCATGTAATGCATAACAGTGGAACGCTGAGTTTGTTACAGTGAACGTCAGTTTTATTATTTCATATGTGATTTTGCATACAATCACATGTAAAAACACTCACTTACACACAATATTGATTTAAACCATATAACCTAACCCAACCGACACTTTAAGATTGAGGTAAAGCTAATTCCTCATACTTCCATATATCTTTCTTTAATCTTAAAAATAAATAAATTAGAAGCAGATATGTTTTGTGTGTAAAATTTGAATCTTCAAACCAGTAGCTATAGGTAAAAAGAAGAAAATGTGCCTCTAAAATGTAGTTGAGTAGAAGTATAAAGAAGCTTAAAATGGGAATACTCTAGTAAAGCATAAGTACCTCAAATCTGTACTTAAGTACATCTGATTTGTTTTGCATAATACACACTGTGCCCACATTTCTGCCAGTGCTGAATGGCTGAAAACTAGTAGAAGACATGAAATATGAATGACTATTTAAGTTAAAAGTTACATTTTGAAGAAAAAATCCTAATGTGGTATTTATTACAAGAGTTTAGCACTCAAAAACTCAACTAAACTGCTGCAGTGGGACTGTTTGGGTCTGGTTTGATCAGATTTGATTCACAGTGACCCCCATTCTTGTTTCAAATGTTGTTCAATCCTAATTGGTGCATGAAAATGTGTGACATAATCTTTTCCCACCACAAACAGAGCAGAGACTATGTGAAATAACCAAAAGTGCCTAAACTTTGACAGATAGTCTTGTGTTCACATAGGACGATATCATCAAAAAACTTTATTTCTTTTCATTTTCAGTCCAAGAATTAAATATTTAATCACACTAGAGTTCAACGTCATTGCAAATGTTTTTACTGTTTTCATGTTGCACAGGCTTGAGACAAACCAGCAAAACATCTTCAAGTTCACTTTGCTTTTTTGAAAAGCAAGCAGGGCACTTAAAAAACAATGAGCCGCTTATTCCCAGCACCATGTTTGTTGTACAACAGCATCAAGAGCAGCAGAGACTATGTGGCAGAAAAACAACATTTCTCCGTCAGTTAAAGTGCTGCTCAGTTACTGTGTGCATTGTAATCAAAGCACATTAGAGGATTTGCTGTTAATGCATAAAACATAAAAAAATATGTCTCCCAACCTGATGGTTCTGTTCTGGTCTGACAGTCGTGAGAAAACCCTGAATAAGTTATGATGAGCTTGTGTTGCTGGATGTAGTGAAGGGTTAGCATTTGAGTCATTTCCCAGTGGGCTTTGCAGAGTGCAGATAACAGCAATCTTTATGTGAGTGTTGTCCCTTCCAATATGAGTATCGCCCCAGCCTTTTCAGAAAGCAGCCAGTTCGAAACACAAGGACTAAAAAATGTATGTGTCCTTTCATTTGCTCTGCCTGTTTTGTTTGGGTGCTCCTCTACAAATGCACACTTTCCTCACAATTGTTTGTTTGCCCGTACGCCTCATTTCATCACTTCCACACATGAATCAGCTGAAAAAATGTCACTGAAATGGAAGGATTGTTTTGCCGTCTTCTGTAGCTTTCCTGCATTTTGCTCCATCTTCACTCATTTCATCTTTCCTCCTCCGCCTCGCCGCTCATTCCTCTCTCTGTAGGCATGTTATTAGCTCGCTGTCTCCTCCTTTGATCTCTTTGCCTCCTCTCTTTCCTCTTGCCTCCCCTCAGGCTCGCCTCAAGCCAGTGGGACCGGCACCCTCCAGATCTATCTGATCGACGTAAACGACAACGCACCCGTGCTGATCCCCCGGGAGGCCCAGGTGTGCGAGCGTGCTCGCCCCAACTCCAGGATCAACATCACAGCCTCTGACGCTGACGCCGACCCCAACGTAGGGCCCTTTGTCTTCGAGCTGCCTTCTTTTCCTGCCAGCGTTCGCCGCAACTGGACTATTTCCAGACTCAGCGGTAATTAAATGCTTCACATTGTCTCTGCTGCAGATTCATATTGAAAATATTTGACCTGCCCTTGTAACATTCAGGAAGTATGTGGGCATGAAATATAACCATTCTGCATCCCCAGCTGAATTAAACCATAAACTTAACAGATGGGTTGCAAAAGCCCTCTCCAGAATAACTGGCGACATCAATCAGTGGACATGGGATTGCTGTAAGCTGTGAGAGAAGTCCAAGTTTAACTAAATGTCTCACAAAGCTCACAGTGAGAGACGCGGGTGCCATCCAGTGTTGACGTACGATCTATCGTTTGTGACAAATGAGATCCATTCATCTCTCTGTCCCCCGAGCAACCGATCTGTCACCTAATCCACCCAGATGGATGTATCACAGCAGTTGTCTTGAGGACAAATCTGATCACATACCTGGATTCTTCTCCCACTGAGGCACTCGTCTTAGTTTGGCTGAGTGATAGATGCTGAAGGTTATATGTTGTGTTGTTGTTGTTTTTTATATCTTTAATGCCTCCTCGCATACATGCGTGTCAGAATGATTGCTGTGCAGTTTGTTTGGTTGCAGCTTTTATTTGCCACATTCACTCATACCTACGCACATGGTGACATGAAATCCCGCAGTCAACATAATGTAATTTCTCTGCAGTACACTGTCTAATCTCATTTTCCCCCTCTTTTCCTTCCTGTCTTTTTCCACTCCTACTCACTCTCCTCTATCTCTTAATGTTTTCCCCCTTCCCACTATTTACTCTCCATCATCAACACTGTCTCACTCCAACTCTCCAGGTGACTACGCTCAGCTGAGGCTAAGGATCCCTTATCTGGAGGCGGCTGTGTACGAGATCCCCATCATCGTGTCGGATTCGGGGAACCCTCCTCTGTCCAACCGCTCAGTGATTAGAGTCAAAGTTTGTCCCTGTGATGATAACGGGGACTGCAGCGCCACAGGGGCCGTGGCAGCTGCCGGCCTCGGCACTGGGGCCATCATCGCTATACTCATCTGCATCATCATACTACTCAGTGAGTACAGCACAGTGGGATCATCAATCAAACCCATTGATCAATGCATCAGTACATATCATACATCATGAAAATGACAAAATGCAGCTGTATTACTGCTCAACATACACCTTTTCTCAGCGTTTCAGCATTAACTCTTGACTGCTACTGCTGTGTGTGTTTTTCACAGGCATGGTTCTGCTGTTTGTGGTGTGGATGAAGCGCAGAGAGAAGGAGCGGCAGGCAAAGCCCCTGCTGATCGACCCCGAGGACGATGTCAGGGACAACATCCTCAAGTATGACGAGGAGGGAGGAGGAGAGGAAGACCAGGTAACGTTTGAAGATCATAAATATATTCATAACTAACAAAAGCTATTAACCAGCAGTGGCATCGATGAGGAAGGTTATTTATTTATTTATTTATTCAAAGATCAGTCCAAAACCCAAACATATTCAGTTTACTATTATATATGACAAAGAAAAGCATAAAATCCTCACATTTGAGAAGCTGGAACCAGCAAATGTTTAGCCTTTTTGTTTAAAAAACAAGTAAAACAATAATCAATTATCATATATAGTTGGCAATTAATTGTCAAATGGCTAATACTGGAAAAATGGTTATGTTTCCTTTTTCAAAGGTCAATTATTAACTACTTCATCTTACCAAAATGAATTAGTCCATCTACCACATTGTAAAATTAACCATGAACAAGATTGGGAAAGTCTTGTTCGGCTGAACAGCAGATAGAGTCTGTAGAGAACAGAATGTACTTTTCTAAAAGTGAGTGAGACTTAGAAAAATGTTTTCAGGGTGCAATCTGCCCTCTGCCTTACAAACAAGTGCTGGGGCTGAAAATGCTGCTTGGCTTGAATTCCACGTACAGTCGACTGTGCAACTCTTTCTGTATGACAGGCGCCTTTTCTGCCCAGAAATCTGAAAACTTATATAAGTTATACACCCACTGCACACCACCTCTTCTTATCAAATACTATTTTCTAAATAAATGAAAACCTTCAACAACGTTAAGCTTCAACGGCTTTGATTAATTCAGAAATGTATTATTAATTATGCCATTTTTGATACTTGCTATTTTCCAACACCCACACACACCAGATATCTAGCGCACAAACACACCCTAGCGTCAGATGGCTGCAGTGTATGGAAACATATTTTCACTCTTAAGCACCTGTGTGCGGATTTAGTAGGAACAATTATTTATCAGCTGCAGAAGAGCAGTTAAGAAAACTCAACAACCTGTTCTAATTACAACACATAGTTAAACATTTATTTATAACATTATAACATTTTGGACCACATTTGTTATGTGCCATTTAGTTTAGACTCAGAGACATGAGCAACAAATATAAATAGAACAGCAATCACAGTTAGAATAATTAGCACATAAATATCAGCTGACTAACAGTGTTTGTGAGTTTCTCAGAGAGAAAGAAAGAGTGCGTATTGACTATTAAAAGCTGTCTCCTGCATGGTCAGTGAACATGCTTTAAGAGCAGTGCGACAGAAAACTCCAATGCTCATATTTGTGTTTTTGTTTAATGATACCTTTCATTACATATAATGAGTAATGTTTGATAAAACCACCGCTGCTATCTGAATTGTAACAACATTTCAGTCTTCCCCTGACATTGTCTCTAACATGAGAACACTATGAATTGTGGGTAATTCCCTCAAGCAAAGACTGCAGCACTGCAGATTTACAAAAGAGTTCAAAGGTCCGTTAGAAAGCACAGATTTCTCTGCAGGTCAGTCCTGAGCCCTCACAGACTTAGCAGGAATGCACATCAAAGTCTGTGAGTCTGTGAGGGCGGGCAGTCGGACCGGGCCCAAAAATAAATACCAACTTAAAAACTCATTCACACGATTCAACACACAATGCATGGTCGTATATAGAGAATCACTAAATTGGAAAAAGGTTAATCATTTGGGTTCGATTGTTAATTGGCCCCACTTAACGCTTTTAAAAAAAACCTGTAACAGTGGAGCAGTAGTCAGTAAATCAGAAAAAAACGTGGATTTGTCAAAAGTAGAAAAAAATGACAAGAAGATTAGGATGTGTCTCAGCATTCCCTATATGGCCTCCATCCAGGACTATGACCTGAGCCAGCTGCAGCAGCCCGAGTCTTTAGACCACATCGTCAATAAGCCAGCAGGGGTGCGCAGGGTGGACGAGAGACCTGTGATTGCTGAGTCGCAGTACCCTGTCAGACCCAGTCTGCCCCACCCTGGAGATATAGGAGACTTCATCAATGATGTAAGTTCAAAAATGGACAAAAGATGTTTTGTTTTGTGTTGTTTCCATAAATGTTTCTTTTCATAAGCTAGACAGTCTAGCAGTGTTCACAGACTGTTAATGTTACCTCATTGATGTGACTCAAACGTTTACACAGCATATGTTTTGAAGGCTGACAGATTCTCTTTTTCAGGGGGGTTGTCAGAATTGATTACTTTTTTAGATATTTCAAAGAAAAAAAAAGAAAAATAATTTTTTCCAGAATTGTATTTCTGTCAGCTGTGATGCTGCTAGAACTATTTGTACACAGCTCAATGTCTGGCTCTGAAACAGCTTTCAGACCATGATGGAACATTAAAACCCTAATGGGTGGTTGAACAGGATGAGACAAGGTTTATTGCAACTTTTACAGTCTGGCCCCCGGAACGTGTGAAAAATCATCACCTCCATTAGAGTGTTGGTTGAACAGCAATGATTGGCCTAAATCCTGTGTCGCTAAACGACCATCATGATACAGTATATCAGGCTAACAACACAGAAGAGCAAATACTGTGACTGTCACCATAGAGAGGGGGTTGTAGATTTTTCATTTCCAATCTGTCTGTCTTTGTGTCTCCAGGGTCTGAGGGCAGCAGACAACGACCCCACAGCTCCTCCCTACGACTCCCTGCTCGTGTTCGACTACGAGGGAAGCGGTTCAACCGCCGGCTCCGTCAGCTCACTCAACTCCATCAGCTCGGGGGACCAGGACTATGACTACCTCAACGACTGGGGCCCTCGCTTCAAGAAGCTGGCCGACCTCTACGGTGGAGGGGACGATGACTGAGAGCGGAGAAGGGGGCTGGGTGGGGCTGTGGCAGGGGGTTCTGGAGAGGCGGGGGTCAGTTGGATGGATGCTCCTAGAAACCCCGGGGAGGGGCCAAGAACATAGCGCAGGGTCTATGGTAGACATGTGAGGAACAGACCCTTACATGGGCATTGTTAGTTTGCTCACAGCAACCGAGCCCGCAAACATGAAATCAGCTGCAGCGCAACTGTATTCTGGCTTTATATTTTTTAGTGGCGAGTTTGTAGTGTGACGTTATTTTTTTTTGTCTTTTTGTTGTTCTCTCACCGTGCTGGACCCGGAGCTCTCTGGGGATGAATCAAGGCGGTCGTGAGAGACACGAGTAGTGAATTTGTGCTTTGATTGATTGTTAAAACAAAACCGTCTTTTGCTTTAGTCTCACACTGAAGAGAATGTTTTTGGGGAAGACGCTCTCTGACTCTCTCTTTCACTCTGTCAACTTGAATTTCCTTAGAACAGAAGCACTGTCATTTTATAAAGTGCCTTTTGTGATGTGTTTTTGTATCAGACTCCTGCTATCTCAGGATCGGTTGCCATTCGTGCAGTACAGTGGAGGCGCGTTCTCTCGTCGCCCCCCCTCCCTGCGCTCCTCAAACCAGCCCTGCCTGTCACTCTCCTCTCCCCCTTCACAGTGGTGCAGATGAACAACCCCAGCAGCCAATCCCAGGAGGGAAGGACACAACCAGGGCAGACTATCGGATATCACAACCCAATGAATTATGGCCCAAAAGAAGCCAATAAGAGTTGTTGTGGGGAAGACAACCCTCTTCTCCAAGGACCTGCTCAGTTTCACAAACATCACCTGTCGACACGCTGACATTGTGTGAGACCATTTTTATACATGTGGGGGTTTTCTAATTTAGTGGAGAATGCCTGCCTTTCCTCTCTGGACTCATGAGTTTAGGAGCCTTTATGTTGAGACGCTTGCCTGCCCTGTACGGTTTTGTGTTGCTTTCTCCACAGTGTAAAGCTTATGTAGGCATGATCTGACTAGTCAGACAGTGTAAGAACGTGGAACTTGAAATGACTTGGAACAAAGGCATCTGAGAAAGATTTCTTTTGTGTCGCCTTGAACATTCCCGTTTTTTATAGGCCAACAAAACTATTAAAAGGTGCATGATTTTTTTTTCAAAATGTTTTACTTAAAGCACTTGTTACTATGTGGTGAGAATGTGAAAATAGTCAGCAGAAACTATATAAATATACTCTGTATAAAGACACTGAGAAAATAAAAATACTGTAAGATACCTATTTTTGAAGTATTGATGACATAAAAGTTGCTGCTCTTTCTCTAGCTCTTCACTGGGCTTAGGGGATTTTTGGCCCTTTCATTTTTAATATGTGGATATTATTGTTTTTTTGTCTTCTGTTTTTAAGCATAATTCCATTTTTTAAGATGCCTGCTTATTCATATTTTGCTTTTCTTTTCTTTTGAGATTGTTTTTTAAAAACGCTTTGTTATACTCCTTTTATATGTGAAAACACAGCCTTCCCCTTTCACTCTGTATTGTCTCTGACAGACATGTCCCTCCTGTTGGCCTCTGGCCTCAGGACAGTGGAAGGTTCATTAGCCATGCCTGCTGATAGTTGTTCTATTATTCAGTGTCCAGGAGTTCTTTTATTCATTCATCTAGATACTGGATGTGTGCTTCAGAAAATAAACAAGACATGTTTTGAAAATGTGCCATCTTTTTTTAATATTCTCTACATGCATCATCTTCAGGTGAATGCTAAACTGTGACACAGGTTGGTCCAATAGTGGTCATTTCAAATATAATGGGCCTCTGTCGTCTTTAAAACTACAGCTTTATCTCGACTAGCCTAGACTTAAAGCCGCTGTGTGTTGGATTGAATGTGTCTGATATTTTACGCCCCCCCTCCCCCAGCGGTAGTATTAGTAAAGATACTGTGGCCAACAACAATGCAAGTTTCCAGCCCCCCCCCCCTGGATCCGCTGATGATCAATGAGTTGAAAAGCAACTACGATCGTCTCATTTATGCCACCAGAATCCCTTACAATATGTTATAGTCAAATAAGAATTCTACACATACTGGCTTTATTGTCACTGCTTTTCCACCTTTATTTGTTCATGCAATGGTTGGTTTGTATTTGCACATGAATGGTTGCACCTTCTTCATTTTTTTATGGAATCATGTATTTTTAAGTGTTGGGAAAAACAGACTCTCTATGCAGTTATGCAGTTAATCTTTGGCCCTATTGTTTGGAAATGGTTTCATTTTCTAATAAAACACCCACTATTTGTCTTTTATTGCATACCAGAAGAAGGAGTAGGAGAGCAGTGTATGGGGTCAGGAAGTATATTTGTGTCCATTCCTGTGATTTCAATTAGTCAGCTGAAGCGCCAAAAAACCCACTGGGGACTTAAAGGGATTTAATCCTCTCCGGCTGTGTGTCTATCAATTAGCCACACCATTAATCCCCACGGCGTAATCTCATTAGATAGAGCGCCTTTAATGAGACACCCAGAGAGAAAGCAGAGAGGCAGGCAGTAAGAGAGAGGGAGAAAAATGAGGTGGTGGCAAGATGCAGGTAGGCCGTGTGGAGAGGTGATTAGTAGGATGGAAGAGAGGGGTCAGCAGAGGGGCGGGGGGGAAGGGTGGTGAGGAAATGAGATTCAAGCACAGCAGGGACAATGCATAACATTTATAAAATGGCTTGAAAAAAAGGTTAAATATGAGGTAGAGAAATGGAGTGCTACTTAATTGTGTGTTATCCACTGCGTCCAGAAATTAGAGGAGTGGGCAATGGAGAGGTACAGAAAACAGGTCAGGGTGAGCAGAGCTGATGGAGCATACTGGAGTGTCCCAGTAATGAGAACATTCACTAATAAACCTAAATTAACCTTTACTGTAGTACAATAGTGAATTGTGCTTTGGACGTGGCAGAATTGTGGACCTATGTTAGTAAGAGAGCCATCAAAGGTTGGCGCCACTGCTCTGAAATAATAATCAAGTTGGTAAAAGGTCATCTTGGCCATAACCAGTTAACAGATAAGGAGATTAACTTCAGGGAAGGTTTCTTTGATGGGCTTAGCTGAACTTCACTTGGTTTCCCAGTGTCAGATAGGCACAGTGACAGAAGAAAGCAAACTTAAGTTATCCCCTTTATAAATGGCATATATAGACTGAAAGCTTTGCTGCTGGCTTGCAGCCAGTGCCCTGTGTGTTGTAAATAAAGTTCTCCTCTTCAAACATGTCCAAGCCTGGCTCTTTTCATTTCCTCTCCGTATAGCTAGTGAGTCCCTTGGGCCGTTGCTGGGAACAGTCCAATCTGAAAAACACCACTGAATGTTGGTTCTGATGCTGGCTGTGTGATCAACTGCTCACAGTTTAGTGTTGATGTTGCCATTCAGCGAAGGTACCGCCCCGGACCCATCCTGGCCCTGCTGGCTGCTTTTCTGCTGACACCACTCTGAACCTCCTGCTATTTCAGGACTCAGTCTAAAATGAGATCAGAGCAGCAGAATAAATTTGATGTTCCTGCCGCAAGTAGGGGAGAGAATATAGACTGTTTAATGACCAGCCATTTATGATATGGATGGCTGGTCCGGTGGAGAGATTCTGCTATTACCACGACAAGATGTTCATATGAGGCTGAAACACTGTGCACTATCAAATGTTTTTGTAGTTGAATAGCTTAACAAGTATGAAAACCACAAATAACTTAATAATAACGTCAGTGATCTATTCAACTGTCCCAGTAAGCCATGACATTGTGACAGTGAGCCAGCATGCACACTATCAGGACCCTAAAACTGATGTAGCTAAATGGAATTCAGCCATCATTAACTTACTTTATAATAGTAGCATTGTGCTCTTATCTTGTGCTCCTGTTGTCACATTTCAAAAAATCTAGTCCTGAGAGCTTTACTATATGAATTTCCATTGAATTTTGTAGAGGTATTAATGGTCCCCCGATGAATCCTAATGACTTTTCCTCTAGCACCACCATGAGGTTTAAGTTTTTGTTTTGAGCGAAATTGGCAACTGTTGAACGATGTGTCATTCATTTTGGCAGACATTCATGCTCCCATCAGGATCAATTGTAATAATTTTGGTGATCCCTAAACTTTTGATCTAATGCCATCATCAGGTCAAAATTGTCCAATACATTATTTTATGACCAAATACCTGCAAAAAATTACGACATTCAATCAGACTCAGCTGCACTTTGTGCAAACTAAGTAGCAAATGTTAGCATGTTCAAAGCACCTCTGAGCCTAAACACAGCCTCACAGTGGCTAATGTGCAGACTCTCTAGTCTTGTTATATTGTGTTCCCACATTTCATATTCCTATATAAACTTAGGCAGTGACACATAGTAACATGGGGTCAGGTGCTATTAATCCAGCACAGAAGGATAAAAGCTTTGCTTTCAGAGAATAACGGAGCTGCTTACCAGTTAATGCATCAATAATCTATAACACTCTGAAAGGATATATGAGGGCTTTTACACTTCAGTATATTTTGCTGCTAATACTCAGTAGAATTCTTATTACGTGGATTACTGTTTCTTTGTCTTCTGTTTTGAAGCATAATTCCATTTTTTAAAATGCTTTTCTTTTGAGGTTGTTTTTAAAGAAACACTTTGTTATACTCCTTTTATATGTGAAAACACAGCCTTCTCCTTTCACTCTGTATTGTCTCTGACAGACATGTCCCTCCTGTTGGCCTCTGGCCTCAGGACAGTGGAAGGTTCATTAGCCATGCCTGCTGATAGTTGTTCTATTATTCAGTGTCCTGGAGTTCTTTTATTCATTCATCTAGAAACTGGATGTGTGCTTCAGAAAATAAACAAGACATGTTTTGAAAATGTGCCATCTTTTTTAATATTCCCTATAGGCGTCATCTTCAGGTGTATGCTGAACTGTGACACAGGTTGGTCCAATAGTGGTCATTTCAAATATAATGGGCCTCTGTGGTCAGCTTTATCTCGACTAGCCTCTGTGTGTTAAATTGAACATGTCTGTTTAAGTATAAATGGTAGCATACTAACATGCTAAGATGGTAAACATGGTAAACATTATATCTGCTTAACATCAGCATGTTTGCATTGTCATTGTGAGCATATGAGATTACAGTAATAGGGGGCACTGGGGGCTCTCTATTTTACACATGAAGGTTCAGTTTACTTGTCACAAGGAGCAGGCTACAACTCAGCCTGTGAAAACAGGTTGGTTAATAACCTCTGTGGGTCCTTTCTGACACCACTGAGTTTTGCGAGGCAGCTGGATTTGCGAGATCACAAAATCACTCAGGGGATCCATCTTACCCGGCTTCAAGCTATACACTTGTGTCAGAATCACTGTGGCTTAGCCCAATCAGTGTCCTTTGAGGCACTAGTGTGACCATTGTAACACATGAGTGTGACGCAGCGAGAAGTGACTGTAGCATCAGTTATATCAGAACTGGAGAGTATTTCTTTATTGAATGAGCAAATAAGGGGCAGAAAATAATTTTTTTTACTCTTCTACCGACTGGTGTACTGGTTTGCTGATTAGACTGGTTGAAGTTTGTCTGTGATAGACAGAGATAGACAGGTGGTTCATCTAATCACCTGCCAAGTATCTTTTGAAAGTTTGTGCCCTTTTCCAAACAGTTTTCAAGGACAACTTCCCAGACGGTTCTGTGTAACTAAACCATCTGGCGCGTAAGGTAGATGTAGGAATTGTAGGGTTGTGTTTTCAGAGCCTGACATACTAGATAATCAAAGTGAGGATATCTTGGCTTTCTTAAGCATGTCTTAGTTTTTTATGGAAGTGCAATTACTAAATTATTGGCATATTTTAACAGAGGACTTTTGTTAACTTGGACCTGTTATTGAGCATTTTCACATCATGTTATTGCTACTTTTACTACCTCTAATTATAAAATTAAATGTCTAAGTTTTGACACTAACACTGAGTGTTCACACAACCGTCATATTCAGGAACAGCTATAATATAATCACCATGAATGATGCATCATGGCATTGCCCTTGTGGTGTTTGGTGACATCCTCCATCCAACTCAAGTACATGAAACCTGTGCTGCTGTGGCTGCTGCTGCTGATGCTGAGCAGCACTGTAGAGACTGACTTCTCTGTGTGATTACATGCTTGGAGTGCAGTTGGAAATTCGAGCCGCATCCTCGAGCTGAGCGGCTGCTCTAATCAACTGGATGTAATTCTTCACCTTAGCCACAGGTTAAGTGCCTTCCCCGGGACACTGGCTACATCTCTAAATGGTAGGAGATGATTCCTTCACAGCCGAGTCAGTCTCTGGTGTCCTTTAGGGTACAATCAAGCTTCCATTCCCATCTGCCTCTCCACTTCCCTCTGTCAGCATCACTCAAGGAAAAACAGACCAACACTTACCATGAATAATGGATGTATAGCAGTCATTAGTATAAATAAATAATTTACCACCACGTGTGTAACAGAATTAGTCTTGTAAATGTAATGATGATATTACAGTAACACGACAGGGAGGAATGACAACCTATCTGGCCATGTGCCCAATGTAAGCTGATTAGTCTCAGCTTGATGACTCTGTTCCTATATGTGTGTCTTATGTGTACAAAGTTATTTTTCCATTTCAAAAGCATAATTTACATATGTTTCATGGTGATTACCCACTAAAGAGATGACACTTTTCATACATAATTCATTTTTGTCTTTCTGAGTCTTAAAAGGTGCTTCAAGGTGAGGGGGAATTTCTTGGACTAAAGGTGTCTCATGGTCATTTATGTTCCTTTTTTATTGCCTTTATTTGATAGTAGAAGCTGTAGAGAGACAGGAAAGTGGGGAGATGGGAGGGGAATGACATGCAGCAAAGAGCCACAGGTTGGACTTTAATATGGGACGCTGCAGTAAGGACTCAGCCTTTTTGCATGACTGGGGGAAAATCTACCAGGTGAGCAATATCTTAACCCCAAGTTCCTTTTTATGTTTTTTTGTTTTGTTTTTCCCCAAATTCACAATTTGCAGGTATTTTATTTTATTTTTTTAGCCATACTATCACTGTTGCTCTATGGATGGTAATGATGGTCTGTCCCCCACTTTGGTCCAGACAGAAATATATCAGAAAATGGGATTGATTAATTGGATTGAATAGATTGCCATGAAACTCTAAACTGTACAGACATTCATGGTGATCCTCTGACTTTTCCTCTTGTGCCTCAATGAGGTTGACATTTTTGGTTTTTAGTGTCATAGCAACTATCTTCTTATTAAATTTGGTAGAAAATTCATGACATCCTTTAACCTTTCCATTGAGGGCACCAGGAGGTCACTTATCCTCAGAAATATCTTCACCTCTACTGAATGGATTCCCACAAAATGTTGCACAGACATTCATCCAAATGATACGTAATCACTTTGGTGGGATCATAAATTTGTCCAATGCTTAAGTTTATTATAAACACATACCTGCAAAGCTATTGACTTTCCACCTTTAGCAAATGTTAAAATGCTAACATGTTAAATGTTAAATGTTAAATTAAGATGGTAATGGTTAATATACCTGCTTAACACCAGAATTTTAGTACTGTCATTGTGAGCATAACACAACCTTCTTATTAATCTATTTTATTGTTTTTATTGTATTCATTTTTAGCTTTGTCCAATTTTATTAATGGTTGTTCATTTTGATTTTATGTGTTGTTTCAATTTGCTATGTGAAGCACTTTGGGCTGAATGCCAAAGTACTGCGGTGCCTACACAGCCTCTCTCAGCCTTTTGTTTTTTTAATGTCTGTCTTCCAATGTGTACTACCACACTGGAAACTGAACTCTTACATTAGTCAAGCAAATAACGTTAAAGAGTCTAGAGGATCTCAGTAAGATCAATATACAATACAACAAAGCACTGTTGACACACATAAAATCAGTGGGTTAAAATGCAAAAAGCCTTTGGATTTTCACATCAGCCTGTGAAATTTAGAGTCACCTTAGCTTGTATGTTCCAGTGTGCGTGTGAGTGTGTGTTCGAGTGCATGTCACACATTTCTCTGTGTGAACCACAGGTGTATACACTCAACACATTTTGATGCCTGTCCTGCCTCATATAGGAGATGACTTTGTAAATGGAGATGTTCCTCTCCTGTGGGCTGACACTGCCTGCTGCTTGACCTGATTCAGCTCCATTAAAGAGGCCAACAGGCTATTAACCCCCGCATCAATACCTCACAGGTTCAGCCGCGCTTACAAACCCATTTCAGCAGCAGTCATAAACACTGGTCTTATTATAGTTTCTCCAGGCCAAAGCAGAGTGCCCTGGTCGACCCCATAACAAAAGAGTCCTAAAGTCAGCATTAACCTGAGTGGAACAAGGGCACTGACGCACAGGAAATGGACTTGTGAGGGGGTGTGAACTAATGAACTGTTGTTGCATGTTATATTCCAGGGTCTGATTCCTCAGGAAAGGCTGGAAATCATTCTCTTTCATTTCAGGATAAAACTGGTTATAGGCTGCTGGGTTTTTGTGCATCTTAATGGATGATAAAGTGCAGCGACTGGATCACAGCGTGCCACATCAGTTCATCCAAATCACATTCTCATGTCCCTCCTAGGAGTTTTATTCATAAGCTCAAAGCTTAATCAACAATATGCAAGGAGGCGTTGAAAAGGATAAAATTAATTAACTGACTTTTAGTATTGAATTTGTCTCACAGCATGAATACAGCGGGATTACGAATGGAATTTTGAATTCATTGGTTTGCAAAGTAATGTCAATGAAAAAAATATTGCAACCTTCTTATTCATCTAGCTATAGGGGTCTTACCTTAATAAAGATTTTCATAACCATCCGATTCATGTAAGAAATGGGGGCCAGGGGATCGTTCATCAGCCTCTAACCATCATTAAAACTGAGCCCGTATGTGAGCGTAAACAAGCAAAAAAATTAAGAGTGTGAGACTTATCATAAAAGTGCAAGAGAAACACCCCGCTGAGAAGCACTATCAGAGCAGTCACATCCCATCTTGAAATCAGACAAAAGCACCCATAGCCATGTACAGACAAATAGTCAGAGGCATGAGCGTGCCTACACACACACAGACACAGACACACACACACACACACACACACACACACACACACACACACACACACACACACACACACACACACACACACACACACACACGCACACGCACAAATAAACTTGCTTTAGATATGGTTTATTATATAATCTCACCCTGGGGTGAAAACAAAAATGACAACATTGAATGTAACAAATTAATAACAGCCCCCTTTAATAAATGTCATGGAAGCAAGCAGTGATGTTACTTCTCTCTTCTTCCCTCTGGCAGGCTCAGGGTGTTTACCCAACACCCTCAGGTGCAGTGACTGAGATGTCGCTAGGCAACCGCACCATCCCTGTTGTTGCTCTGCCTCTGGCACTCAAGTGGGAGCTTATGTGGACTTAACTCTGAAAGAGCAGCAGTGTTGAGGAGTGGAAGGGGGATTACCAGGAAAAATATTGGATTGGGCTGAGGCACAAGGGGTGAGGCCTTACCTGAATCACCATTGCCACCAGACAGAGACACCATGAGAGACTGCTAGTTCTGTACTCACAACTGAAAGCCTGGCTTTTATCTGGCTCTGCTTCCTCACAGCAGCACAATGCTGTGATGTTATTAAAGAAACCAAATTGTGTGTGTGTGTCTCTCTCTCTCTCTCTCTTTTGGCCAAATGTTATACAAAATAGGAGTGCCTGACAGGCTGGACTGTTAGTCTGTATTATGAGAGTCGAACAGAGCAAAAACAAAGTCAACCACATAGAACCAGTTAATATTAACTATCATGAAGAACCTAAAGCTGCATCTTCAGTCCATGACAGCTATAACAGAATCATCCTGTAATGTGGTAAAATGAGCTATTGCCACCTAGTGGCTCCCATATGCACTTTCATTATGGAAAATGAAAATGAGGCTCATCACCACTGATAGCTCAAAATATGCACTTATTGTTCCTCTTTGGTCGACGCAGATACAAAAGCTGCTCCCAATCATTGTAACATCAGGCTACTGTCCCAGTGGCAGAACGGCCTAATTATTTCCAGCCCATGGTTGTGGTGAATGTTAGCAGCTGATGTTGCAGCTGTTATCAATGCACAGTGTGTTGGGCTGATAATGGAGACGGACTCAAACAAGACAGCCCAACAAAGAACAGCACAGACTGGTAGCAGACTGTGAGTGAGTGCGTTTTCATTCTAGGTTGAGAGCTGTGTGTTCTGCTCATGGGAGTTGTGCTCAATAGATGCCTCTATGGACCCAGGGGACACAAACTGTGTACTACATGTGGCTTTACAGATGTTAGAGGATTAAATGGAATTATCTGTGAACAGGTAGAGTAAGAAGGAATTAAAGGCATTCAGCTCATTCAAGTACAAAGCCTCAATATCCTGAGTGTCACATGCAGCACACATCCACGTTTTAATAATACAATGCTGCCCCCTAGTGCAATACAACAAGATGGGAAAGAAAAGTTTAGGACTGAAACACCAGTTACTGTAAAATCATTATTTATTCAAACTTTTCAATAGAGAAATTTTGTTTTTCTTTATGCTGTATGGGTAAATTCTCCATTCTATACAAAACTGTGTGTAAAACCTTAGGTGTAACATTTACAAATATACAGGAAGAAACTCCAGTTGCTTGAGCTGGAGGACACGGCCAGTCACCATTAAAAGAGTAAAAATGTGTGTTGGTGGGCAGCTATAAAAATAGAAATCAGTTTCCAGTAGATGTGTGTTTGGTATAGCAATACTGGCTAAAAGCCATCTGAAAACTGTTTAAGAAATCAATACATGTCAAACTAATTTTAAAAAGAACAGTTTAACAGATTAAAAAAACACACAAAAAGAACACGCCTCTCTTCACACACTGAAAACTATACATCAAACAAAATGTCAAAACAGATTTTCAACATATCCTATGCAAGTAAATGCACATTTTGTTTTGAATCAAAGCTATGTGAAAACAACTGAGGTGTCACATGAAATTAAATAAATAACTAAACATTAATTTAAGCTTGAGTTTAGTAAATAAATATGCTGAAAAACAAAATCAAATAAAGTAAAGGAGATGACAGATACACAGCGAGCTACTGCTTCATTAATTACAGAAAGGTTAATTGCTTCGGGATGGCTATATGGCTTATTCATAGTTAGGAAGGCAACTCAGTAGGTTACACAGTCTGGAGTTCAAACTAAAATCATTATTCAATAAAATTAGTTGGTGTTCTATTAAAACAAATTTGTTGATTTCCTTTGCTTTAAAGCCTAATGCACACACAAATAATCAGAAAATAAACTGTACTGTGTGACAATGCATACTAGTACAAATTAGTCATTTGTTTGTACAAAAATAATAAAACATGTAATCTATTTTTGCACTTTCTTAAAAAAGAAGTTGTAAATGGTAAATAAAGGGGCATTAGTCCATGCCTGCTCTGAAAGAAAATAGACATTATTTGAGGAGAGAGGTAGAGAGGCCATCCAATATGGCTACTACTGTATTTCAGGTTCATGTATATCTGAAAGACCTTGAAATGTGCCAAGTCTCTGCTCTCCTCCTCTTCATTTATAAGTCTCTTATGCTCTCTCTGTGGTGGGAGTGGTTTGGTCTCTCCACACACTTCAATTCCCCCCTTTCCCCTTTCCCCTCTCCTCCTCCTCTTCTCTCTGACATCAAGCCTATTTGAGAAAGCCCTTGTAGAGGAAATGGGAGTGACTGGAAAATCTCTCGTTCTCCAAACAGAAGAGCAGGTCCCTGAGATTGACACGTGTGATGCGCTGCCGTGTGGGTCTGGAGCCAGAAGACCCAGCCCCACCAGACAGAGAGGGACCTGATCCTGATCCCTGCAAGATAAGAGACAGGTGGGAGAGAGAGAGAGAGAGAGAGAGAGAGAGAGAGAGAGAGAGAGAGAGAGAGAGAGAGAGAGGGTAAGAGGGGGGGAGAGGGCATATGATGTTTGTAATTTGTTTTTCTCATGAGAAAACCCAAACAGGGGTGAAAAAGTATTAAGATCTTTTACTTGAGTAAAAGTACCAATACAACAATGAGAGTAAAATTCCTGCATTTAAAATCCTACTGAAGTAAAAGTACACAATTATTATTAGCTAAATGTACTTTTTCTGCAGCATTTTACTGTTGCCACTGGTCAAGGTGGAGCTAGTTTTAACTACATTATATACTATTAGGTAGCCTCATACAGTGGTTCGCAACCTAGAGGTTGGGCTTCTTCCTAAGGGTCACAAGATGAATCTGAGGGGTCTTGAGGTTATTTATTGGGTAGAAAAGAAGAAAAAACTAAGCTTTGCTACACACATATTCTTCTTTTTGGACGGTTCTCACATCTTTTGTCTTTGGCGTAACTGCTAACAACTCAAACCAATAATACTGGAAACCATTAAACTATTTATATGTGTAAAATTTTAATCTGAAAAATATCCAGTAACTAAAGCTGTTGTAGTTGAGTATATTATATGTATATAATAACATTATATATATATATATTACATTCCACAACTGAACCCAAAGAACAATTCAGACCAGTTAATGCCTGCATGCATTAATGTTGACCAATAAGAAGCAGCAGAGTGGCCGGCTGCATTCCTGTCCAGAGTTTGCATGTTCTCCTGCATGGATTTCTCTCTTCCTGGATTCCTAGGTCAGTGATTCCAAAAGTAATAGTGGTACTTGTATCACCGGAGGTAAGTAATGGATAAATGGTTGAAACGGCTAAAAGTCATGGATAAGTGGCTGAACTTGCTAATAATTATGAATAAATGGTTGAGTTGGGAACTGTAAATTGCCAGCTGGTATAAACTGAGTATGTCTGAGTGTGAGTCTGTCTGTGTGTTAGCACTTTATACTTGATTTGTAACCTGTACAGGGCGTTTCGGCCTCTAGTACAATGTATGATGGGAGTGACTTTAGCCTTTTACAAGACTCAACAGCAACAAGCAGTGTGAATGGATTGTTAGAACTTCAGGGAGAAGTGAAAAAGTGGATAGTGTTTGAGAAAGAAAAGACGTTTGCTACACAATAGTCTATTATGGGTATTCTGGATGAATTGTCAATTAAGAATTAAGTATAAGCATTAAGTAATAATTTCAAGCTTTTTTTTTATACATCCAGTTCATTACCCTAAACCCTATCAAGGCCTTTTTTTAGCCAGCAATGCCATGCAGATTATTGAACAAGCCCTGCAGTCATGGCCTGCGTTGCTTATTTAAAAAAAAAGACTAAAAATCACCCCTGAAGTAAAATACTGTTTTGTTAAAGTTAAAGTGTTATTCCACTCTCATGTGTTTATTTAATTTGGTAACAACTTTCACACTACCTATTCACTGTTATTTCAATTTGTACAGTACTTAACAGAATATAATACTATATCTCTAGGACATCTTTTTTACCTATATTTTTATAAATCTGAATTATATTATGAAGAACAGAAAAATAAAAGCAGCCTTGTCATTGCGTGTATGAATGAACACAGTCCTATTACAGTAACTGTCAAAATAAGTAAATGATATCATAGTGTTTCCTAAAGAGTTTTTCATGTGCTAACTAAAGAATAGAGGGCCATTTATTGTATTGTATGTTTAGACACTTATTTCAATGAACAAGGAGAAAAACAAACCCCCAAACACGAACACATGCATGGGGTATATACGTATACTATATATAAAGAAGAATATTCAATAAGGGGATCAAAAATCAAGAAGAGACAGATTTGTGGGAGAAAGGAGAACTCAATTAACCCAACAGTGATGTGCAGCAGGTAGCATAACCAGCAGCTGCAGCACGGTGAGTAAAGGTCTGTCACATTGTCTCATTGTATTGATTGAATGTGACAGATGCCTTTATTAAATGTCATTTGTAATTACAAGAGTCGAATGACAGTCTGCATGAGTACAGTGATCTGCCAACTAACAAGCTGCTTCATTATATTATTTTCTTCAGGTATGTGCACAGCATAGATGACTGACAGCAGGTTTCTGTCAGGGTAGTGTGGGCTGTCAGTGACGACTCGTCACCCAATCAACTTACAATTACTATAGGGAAGGAGCAACTAACTGTTAGATGTAACATTAGCTATTTCTGCAACCAGGATTTAATACTGATATAGAAAGCAGGCTTTTAACTGGTGCCTGCATTTTTACTCTGGCGTCTTTTGTTGAGTCATATGCAAAGTGCCAAATGGATGCCAGAGGTACATGGTACATTTATTACAGGGGTTATACTGGACACCTATCCCAGGATAAACAACACTATATGGGGTATCTAATGTGATTAGTGTTACCTCAGCTACAGCAGAGGAAGATGGAGAGTCCAGAATCTTCCTCTTCTTCCTGGGACCGATGGCTGCCAGAGCCGTCAGGTTGGCCTCCCTCTGTCTCATCTGAGCCAGCTCCTGTTGCTGCATCTGGACAAGGCACACATACCAACACGGACATCAAGCAAACAATGCAAAAACCTGCAGAAACAGACACTACTTGACTATTCTCTCATCCTACCTCTTTTGCCTTCTGTTTCAGACGCAGCTGCTCTGGGTCCTCTTGCCGAGCTCGAGACTGCAAGACCAAAAGCAAGACACATTGATAACAGATCCTGGCAGAGGACAGACCAAAGCCCAGGCTGTGTAGGACTAGAGATACTGTGGAATTGGCACAGTAGTCCATTCTGCATAAATATATCATGAGTTTGAGATACTACTACTTGTTTTGACTAAGCCTGATGTCCCCTGAACAGTCCCATCAATACTTACATTGAAATAAATAAACATCTGTTCACTACCTTTTTTTTTTCTTAATGTCACTTCTCTATTGGAATTTAATTTGGAGTTATACATTCGTCCCCCATTTGATATATCACATAGCACATTTGTTAGATGCTGTTCGAGTTACATCCTAACATCCTGAGGGTGAGTCAAAATCAATCGCAGGTGACCTTTAGTAAAACTTTATAGACTATAATGTACCTCTGGAGAAGAGAACAGCTGCAGGATACCAAAAGACTAAATGTAGGCCAAATAAATCAGCATTGATTACATACTGCTATTATTAATAAATGGGCCTTGATTTCATCTAAACAATAAAAAAGTAAAGATGTCACAGTATAACATTGGAATAATAAAACTTGTGAACCATCAAAACCACACACTCTATTATAGGGCTATTTATTTACACTCCATTTGAGACATGATACCTAAATCCACAGTTTCCTTCTTACTCCTCACCACAAACACGCCACAAATAATTTAATACAATGGGAATATTTGTGTAAATGAAATTACCAATAGCCTTGGGACATACACCGATCAGCCATAACATTATGAGCACTGACAGGTAAGTGAATAACACTGATTGTCTGGTTATCATGGCACCTGTCGGTGGGTGGGATATATCAGGCAGCAAGTGAACATTTTGATTGGTGTATTGTTTTGATGTCTGCCAGTGATGCGGTACCTTAGCTGCCTTTAGGAGGATCTCTCTCTCCAGTTCCTCCTTGCGTTGTTTCTCTAACTGGTCCAGCTGCTCAAAGAACTTGAGCTGAGCACGAACATCACTGCTCTGTTCAAAGTTGCCGTCCTCCTGCCAACAGACAGCGGTGTTAAATGTTATCCCACAAAAGACCAAAAGATTACAGGAGAGAAATGAGTGCATATTCAAAACATTGTAAGATGTATCTGTCATTTGCATGTTTACAACAACACTGTAAATACAGTAGACCCCTTTGTGTCTTACCACTGGTATTATTTGTCTGCAAGAAATCAGAATCAGAATCAGAATCAAACATACTTTAATAATCCCGTGGGGAAATTACTTAAAAATCCAAACCATGGCACTTATACTATCTATATGTAGATCTAGCCCAGTTAATTTAAACTACCCCTTCATATACAAATAAAATAAAAACACAATGCTATTTTTAAAAAATGTGTGCAAAAGGTTGATAAGAAGAGAGATGGCTTCAGAGCTTCACTTGTTGTTTGGCTGCAAACAACAAAAATTATATAACATTATGATATAAAATGTATAGAATCTGCTGTTTGCATTTTTTGTTAAGCATGATGTTAGGAATGGTAATATGTTCAGAATAGTGCACATTCTTGAACACTGAAGTGGCCTTCCTATGAGATGCTCCCCCCCTGCTTTATAATTACACTGTAAACAAACCTTAAAATTGACGTTTTTCTGCTGGGCCACTTGGGTAACCTTTTCCAGCAGGTTCTGGAGCCGCTGCTGAGTAGCGTGGGAGACATAGTTCACCACCTCTGCACCCAGGTCTGTCACACCATACCTCCTGCCTGGAAAAGAAACAGCAAGATACCTTTGGGGCTTTAGGAGGTGGATGCATAGATGTTGTATCATCAATAATGCTGTTGAGTTTCTCACCAATCTCCAGCATTCTCCTCTGTAGCATGGCACAGGAGAGAAAAGCCTCATCCTTACAGGAATGTGTCACAGCTCCCACTAGTCCAGAATTGGTTGCTAGGATATTAGCGCTTTCCTCTGATAGGTTCACTCCAGCCATGGAGGCCACGTCATTGATGTCGTCATCATCTCTGTGAACATAAATACAGTAAGGCAAACCCAAACACTACACTAAATATCATGAATCCAGATAAATATCTCATGCAGGTGTGGAAAAAAAAGAAAATTCCCATCAATTGTTATTCATTTGTCAAGCTACATATTGTTTAAGCTATAAAATATTAGGAATTAAATTAAATAAATCAAAATTTTATATTTATATATATTTTGGGGGGCATGGCGTCCCATGAACCTTTCCCATTTTTATTTTTCTGAGCGAGTTAGAAAAGTTAATTTCGAAAACTACAAGTGATGCTAATACTAAAACCTGCGTGATAAACAACATTTATGATCAATCTGATTGGAAATCTGTTGTCTTTCTTCTTACTTGAAAGTACCACCCGCCTCTTTCAGCTTGTTCTTCTGAGCCGGGGTCAAGGCTGCAGCATAGACTTGTTTAGAAACAGGCGGCACCTCTGGCCTCACAGGAACTAGCAGAGACACAGAAACACAATACATATTACAGGTCACCCAAAGAAAGACACACACATACACATACAGCGCTGTATTTAGACTGACATCCTCACCTGGCTGCAGCTCTTTAAGCTGGACCTGTTGCTGTCCCAGTATGATGCTGCCAGGGGCCTGATTCCTGAGCGTCACCATGGGGGTCGTCGGTAAGGTTACCTGAGGTCTCAAAATTGCTCTCTGCTGCTGAGGCTGGAGTACCTACAAGGGTAACATTTCAAAAGCAGATTTTGTAATTATCACCACAGTTACATTTACACTTTATGTTTTATTGTCTAGAACTATTTGCCTTATATTTTATATAAATGCACACACTAAAAAATTTAGTTGATTGACATTAAAGTCAGTTTACCAGTGTGGGGGTCTGCCCTGGTCTGCCAACTCCAGGCTGGAGCTGGGGCCTGCTGACTGGAGCAGTGAGGCGGGGGCTTGGGCTGCCCAGGACCACCGTGGTGGGGGTGGGAGAGGTGGAGGAAACTGGAGCTGAGGCCAACTGGGGGAGCTGACTCTGCTGGATGAAGGCTGCTGAGTCTGGGGTGAGCTGCCTCAAGGCTGGGAGGCTTCTCTATGGAGAACAAACAGATGGATGATCATTACAGAAATGCACTTGAACATGACATTCTGTCTGCTGTGCTCTAAGATAATATAAAGCACATTTTACTGATCTTTGATGGAAGGTATATCAATGAAAATGACAACAGAATATAAGCATTTTTACCTTGAGGAAAGGCACAAGGTAAGGTTGTGGTGAGGAGTTTAGCTCTTTGTATAATCTGCTGGTGAATTCCTCAGCTTCCAGTTTACCCTCCTAGTACAACAAATAGGCATAAAGAGTTGGGAGTGAGAGCTGTCACATTTGCAGGTATAGATGATGCATCACTTGGCTCAAGGTTTTCCACTTTTAAAAAGGGGATATTTTTAGAGCTTTCATTTGTCAATATCCTTGTGAAATGTGAAACATGTATACAATATAGCAGCTGACAGGTTCATGTGTGTCTCCTGTATGTATGCCTCACTCACCAGCAGGTCCTTGACCAGCTCTCTCACACTGGCAGCAGTCTCTGTTGATTGCTTCCCAGTGGACGCCAGCTTGATCAATGTTGACAGGAAGTTCTTGCATTTCTTCACATTCTCCATTGTCTCCTGCCAAAAACACAGAACATTCAGATTATGAACAAATTCGAGTCTCATTTGTGAATAACCATTTTAAACACAGCAGCATGCTTGGCCTTCTTTAATTACTGTCTACTTACAATATGTACATAGTGTCATAAACCCTACAGTACACTGTTCCAGTACATGCAGACACCCAGCTCTATCTGATCGCTCCGGCTTAGCACAACTCACTTTGCTCGCTGTTACTGAGGTAACTGTTGTTCCAGCTGTTTGGCTGACAGTCCTGGGGGTCATTCCTGATACTGCAGCCCCAACTGAGCTCTAGGAAGACATCACCATTGTAACATGTTATATAGGTTGTTGAAACATTTCAATACCCACTTTTCAAGTCATCACAGGAGAGTGTGGGTTTTAGAGCTGTTTCAAAGTTGATTAAGTGCATCAAAATGCAGGTTCATAAGAGGAAACAGGTGCACTTCTCCTGCACTGAGTTTCAGTTGGGTGCTCTTCCTGACCACCTCTGTCTGATCACTAGCTGCTCTTGTCAGCAATAGAAGGCTGACCCATTGGTGTTATCTATAGCTACAAAGTGAGTATGAACCCATTTTTTTTTTTTTTTTTAGCAAACTTGAAAAAAAGCCACTATGCAGAAAATGTATATGCTTTAAATCTGTAGTTTCATGTCTGTCAGGAGTGAATCTGTCCTGGATTTGACTCAACTTAGTATTTGGTAATGAAGTAACAGGCACATATTTAATTTAAGACAGTTCACAGTTTGAACTAAAATGTTGTATTAAATGATTATGACTTCTGACTTTTCCCCTCTTCCATTAAAGGCAAATATGCTATCATAAACTACAATTGGGCTTTAGAATAACATCCCATATAGACAAACGAAAGTGCCCACTTTTTTACATTAATAAACCTACACGCATCTCATTTTTCTCATCCATTTTGAACAGAATGCATGGCACATTGTCCAGAGTCCAGTATCTCCTGAGACCTCTGGCTGCTCACATTTATAGAATATCTCTTCATAAATGAGTATAATTCCTTCAAGTCTAGGTCTAACCCCTACTATAGTAAATCCAGGAATCAAGGTTCAGGATTACACATAAACCCAGAAAACTGAAAAACTATTACAGTGTACTATAATATAATTCAGTAAATGAATCATCCTGGTCTGTAGCTTGTGCAAGTTATGGCCACAAAACGATGTGCAACAAGCCAAATGAAAACAATCAGAAATGATTTGACAGCAACAGGTGGGGTTACCTGAAGGATAGGAGGTCTGTGAAGAGCGGTGGTCGAAGGGAGTGACGTTGGAGCTGGACAGCCCTGCCGGATGATAGTGCTGGGAGCCACTTGTCTGTTGATGATAGTGTTTCCAGGAGTCTGGGAGAAGGCACAAAGCATGGCATGATGTGCAACACCAAGTTTCATCATTCTTGAAAAGACATCTACTGATTACATCTAAATACATGAATAGTAATATTTATTTTATAATTTTGCATACATTAAGGCTAACAATATAAAACAATAACATACAAGCACACTATTTCACATATACCTACACATGAGCCATAATTTTTCTAATAGTCTACTCGACAGGTGCTTCCCTGAGCTGTAGGCAGGAGGGCAAGCTGATCATGGGCTGTAGTACTGACTTTGGCACTAAAGTGGAACATACTGGCTGTCCATATAAAGTCCTTCCTAGGGCAGGTTGTGTGATCTTACCTGGCCAGGAGACACGTTTGTTGGTGTAGCTGTCCGAGGTGCCATGCCTCCCTGTGTCTGTGCCTGCATCTGGGCCAGAGCCTGCTGAGGAATCATCAGCAGCTGTCCACTCTCACTGCGTACAAGCACCATCCCTGAACCAAGTCAGAAAATATAAGATATAATAACACTATCACATGAAAATCCAAACAGTGAACAGCTAAACCACAATGAAGTGTAAACATGATCAATTAATGTTGTAAATCTCACAGAGTAGTCACCATAAATCCTAACACATCTGTTACTGATGAGTGAGAAGACAACACATATGTTGTGTGCATTTTGTACTGGATAACAATTATATGAGAATATAATCATTCAGTGTTTATTTTTACATCCATTGATCAGAGGCAAATGAAAATGAAACCCGTGACTCAGTCAAGTGTGGAATTAACTGCGCGCACAGTGAAAGAGTTCTGACTTCACTCACCCGGGGGGAGCTGGATGTTATGTATACTGGGCTGTCCTGGGGAGGTCTGGGGGAGCCTTGGGGCCAACATCTGGGGCGTCAGGGCTCGGACACCGCCTGGACCAGCAGCTCCCGTCACCGGAATCCGGGGAGCGCTGGAAGTGACCGCCAGCTGCGGTGCCGACTGTATTATCGTTGTGGGTGGCTCTGCCTTGATTATGTGAGACCCTGCACTGACAGACACCGAGTTGGGCGGCTGGCTATTGTTTACAAGCGGGGTTTGTATGGCGATACCTGTCTGACCTGTCGTATTGGCGGCCACCACTGGGCTCGCATTGTTCCCATTCAAAGTTGCGCCCGACCCCGCGGTTTGCATAGGCGGCCGGACGAGTGTCACAGTGGGTCCCGTTGCCTGGCTCACAGGCTGAGCTGAAGCGACAACACTCTGTGAGTTCATGAGAGGCGTCTGAATTACACTGTTGGACGACGGGGGCATTATCGCACTGGCCAGCTGTTTTGACATCGCTGGTCCACTGTTGACAGATGTGACAGATGTGACAGATATCGCAGTGCTGCCGCCGTTACCAGCTCCACTTGTGGCTGTCGTCTCCCCAAGAGGGGCAGCGCTGCTTCCTGAATTGTGAGAGCTCATAGTTTGGCTCCCATTGAAAGTCTGCACTGAGTACGAGCCTACTTTCCCCTGGTGATTGGGGAGAGAAGTTACAGCGCCACTAACAACAAGTGTTTTGCTGGGGTCGTGTCCCGTGGTGGAGTCCGTGCTGGCCGTCGATGTATCCATAGTTGAACCATGGGGACCTCGTTATGAGGAGACCCCCTGCACTGTAAACTTGTTTAGAAGGAGCACAAACAATCTTGAATGTGATGGGGCAAGGCTCTTGACACATGTACTGTTTTTCTCTGTCAGCTCCGGCGCTTGCTTTTCGTGTACACCCGGAGAGACAAAGAGGAAAACAACATTAGTAGTTACAGCGTACCTGCTTCAGCAATCGTCTTGACCAAGTCCCAGCTGGACATTAGCTCGCGCTACCCCCTTGTCCCGGAACTATAGCCATGTAATTACCGGCTGCCTCGTGCCTACCCCAGTGGTTGTTGTGACACAAGAACAACAGCTGTGACTCAACAAACTGTACAGGATGACAAACTACCGCTTTATTCACCTCTGTGTGTAAAGTCGGCTCCTCCAGCGGGCCGGGGCCAACCGCCATCTTCACACTCCTGCGAGCTTGTGAGAAGTGAGGTACTTACCAACTGACATGCGCGTGCGCACAACAACTAAACGTCTCCGTGCGGGGAGTTCGGCGCGCTGTGATTGGCTGTCCCACATTCTAAAAGGCGGTACCAATGGCTACAGCTGTCATTCCAGGGGATGCATGAGACGGAACAACATCGTACCGGAGACGAAACGTTTTCGTCAAATGTCACGTCGTCGCCGGCCTGTTTATGCTATCACGATAACTATTCCGTTTCAGAGTTGTACCGTGCGACCCTTGGTAGAGTAATAACGTGGTTTGCAACAAGCTATCCAACCAAATTTAAGAGATTTCACTCTCGATGAGCTGTGCAAGATGGCTGCAGTGTTATGGCCAGCAAGTGAAGTTGCTGTTGTAATGAGGCGTTTGAGGGCGCCCCACCCTCCGTTTAGAGAGGAAATATTGTACTGTACTGTCAGCAGTAATGGGATTTAGTGTGGTTAAACCCCACGTGTGCTGACTTTAAAATAAATGCAAACATTAAGTATATGTTTACTCCTACTTAGATTTTATTGTTGAAATATATATCCAAATGTCCGGTAGGTCCTATGTAATTTATTCAAAAGTTATAAACTTACCGTCTACAGAGTAAGCTGTATAAGACCCAATAACCATTAATGGTAGCCTACTTTTGTGTTAGGGTTCACATTTTCCATATGAGCAATTAGAGCATCCCAATCTTTTTCTATATATATATATATATATATATATATATATATATATATATATATAAATTTATACATAGGGTATTGTGAAATGGAGTTTTGAAAATAGAAATGTGTAAACTCCTGAAATAGAAAAATAGCTTAGAATAAATGTCAATTTTCAAATTGCCATTACTCAAAATATGTATTCCAATGTCCTTCAAAGTTTCTTCTTTTAAGCCTACGTATGGCTTCATTATCTTGAATTGCCCAATATAATAAAGTAATTTAATTATTGGGATATATATATATAAATATAATTTGGATAAAAAAAAAGGTTAAATGGGAAAGGTAAACTCTCATTAAGGTGCCACCAGCTAAAATTAACATTTTAAAAATACACAGATCCACATCCACAAAATGTATCCACAAAATACACATCATTAAAATCATTATCGGTTATTTTTTGTTGTTATCATCAAGTTAGAGTTTCTCCACTGGTCTCTCCTTGGGACCCTCATTTTCTCATGGTCATCAAGTTGCAGCCAAGCAGTTTTAAAGAATTCAAACCAAGCAAATGTATTTTTCAAACAGGTTAGTAAACACATATACAATGTCATGATAAAATTATGTTTATTATATAGGCCTATGTTTAACATAAAATGTACACATATTGTCATTCCTGCAATCAGAACATATTACTACTTATCATTATTAAACAGCGTGAACATCACAACTGTATTCTGCAGATTGTAATGAATATGATTAAAATAAACTGGATAACTGTTTTCATACAAAGTAAGGCCTAAACAATTTTTTACATTTTTTTACTTACTGTTTTTACTTATACGTTTGTGAAAGCTTTTCTGTCAAAATAAAAGTCAGACATTAGATAACGAAGCATTTAAAATATATTATTATTATAATTTTGACTACACACCCATCCAGAACCATTTGGTGACCAACTTTTGGATTCAGGACCCACCAGTTGAGAAAAGTATGGATTAAGTGATAAATTAAATGAAAAATTATTTGTATTTGGAAAAATATCTGAAGCTTCATAATGCCACATTTAGATATTTCTATTCAGTGCTTTACTATTGTGTCACAATAATGTAATGTTTTTGAGTTCAAATTCATTTGGGGACTTTTCCAAGCAAATATTGATATATATGATTGTTTGCGATTTAATCAGCATGTATTTCTCATTAAAGTCTCACCCTCTTTCTACCCCATGAATATTTCTGTAGATCGGCCTCAGGTGCAGCGTAATTATATGTTGTCTTAGCCAGGCTACCAAGGAGGTATCGACAGACTGTTGTTCCCGTGTACGCCGGCTGGCTAAACAAACCAACCCTATTTTACGCGCAGGTGACCCAGCAGCGTAGAAGTGCGTCACTGGCAACCTTATAAAGCGCACAGGTGCCCGCTAATTGCGCACATTGCCGATTAGCTGATGTCTTTGTGTGCCGTGGTTTAATGCTCTGTGGTTCAGCCGCTGCTTTTCAATTTGAAGACATATTTTCACTGCGAACATGAGTTCTGGAGGAGGGACCCCTTACATCGGCAGTAAAATAAGTCTGATATCCAAGGCTCAGATTCGGTATGAGGGAATATTGTCCTCTGTCGACACTGATAGGTCCACGGTTGCTTTAGCCAAAGGTAGGTCGGTAGGCCGAGGACACACGTGTTTTTCTCTATTTGACAATCCTCTCTATATTGAGTTGTGAACTAAGTATGCTGGAAGTAAACAAAACCTAATGTTGCCCCCCCTCACAGTAAAATCCTATGGGACAGAGGACCGGCACACGGATAGACCAGTGCCACCCAAAGATGAAATATATGAATATATAATCTTCAGAGGAAGTGACATCAAAGACATCACTGTGTCCGAACCACCAAAACCACACCATGGACTGCCTCGTGACCCCGCTATTGTACAGGTGTGTGTTGGCTCACTTTTTAAAGTAATTTGCACTTTGTTAAAGGGAGTTAGTTTTGTCTTTAATTTTGGTGCTTTTAGTCGTCTGTTGGCAGTTCCTCTGCTGCGTATCACCCACGCTGGAGTCCATACAGAGACATGATGCCCACCTACAACCAGCTGGCTGCGAGTTCTCTCCTCAACCAGCAGTACAATGCGGCGTTAGGCTTAGGTACAGTTAATGTTCTTTTGGATGTGTCTCAGAAATGTAATTTAGGCTTTCCTCCAGCACTATGGAGTGGCTGTTTCTCCCATGTATCTGCAGTTGATCAAGCCCCCCACCATGTTTGTTCTCGTTCTTCCGTACCAGGACTTCACGGCATCCCAGTCAGAAGAGCTCCCATGGTCGAGCAGGCTGTCCAGACCGTGCCGTTGGCCAGTGCTGCTCAGAAAAGGGGGAAGACTTCAGCCCAGCCACAGAACAGACAGCCGGTTCGTCCAACCCAGCGCTCTGGCCGGGGTGGTTCCCAGGTTCTGAAGGAGAACGTACCCACCAGTAAGCAAACTCAACAGTGGCTCATAACGGGCAAAAGAAATCACTCATCCTGTTTCTTACACCATTTTCTTTTTAATCAAGCTCAAATAAGAAAAATGAACATTTCATTTCTGTTCAGGTCGGACAACATCTCAGCCCAGTGCAGCCAAGAGTCAAGGCCAAAGCACTGAGAACCAGAAACAAAGGCAAAAGCAAGGTATCAAAAATTCACTCTTAAGCCATTTCTTACTGAGAATGTCCACATTTGTTTGTCAGTTCACATCTGAGGGCAGAAATACAAAAGGAACTTTGTTGGTAAACAAATGTTGCTGATCTGTCTGTATAGAATAGTTGTCTTAATTGTAGAAAATGGAATACAAAGGTAAAAATCTAGATGAACTGCTTCTAAATGGTTACTAAACCAGTTTTGCAGTGTATTCGTCTGAACGTCGTCCGGTGTTTATGTGCAGGCAGTCGCAGGTCCAGGAACAGAAGCAGAGGCCAACTTCTTGTGAAAAACTCGAAGGCCACAACCTTGCAGTTTGAGTCAGATTTTGATTTTGAAACTGCAAATGCTCAGTTTAAAGATGATCTCACAAAGGAGGTTGTAGGTATGCTTTAGTTCAAAAGGCTATCAGTTCAGTTTTAAGTGGGGACAATATAAAGCAATTTTAAAGTGTGTACATGTATTTTCATCTTGTGAATTGCTGCAGTTGAAAAGGTAGATTCTGGGGAGGCCCAGCAGGACAGCCAGAGTCTGCAGGAGGAGGAAACTCTGGGAGATAAATACTACGACAAAGCCAAATGCTTCTTTGACAACATTTCATCAGACCTTAAACCCAGGTGATTATACAACTTCCTTTTTGCCTTTTGAGGTTTATCATGCTCTACAAAATCTTACTTTTTTTTTTTTTGGGGCATCCTCAGGAGAACCACCTGGGCAGAGGAGAAAAAGTTGAATATGGAAACATTTGGAGTGCCCGGCCGCTTCCTGAGGGGCAGAGGGTTCAGGGGCAGAGGACGCGGAGGGCAGAGCGCCACTGAGCAGCGACCCCTCCCAAAAATTGGTAGTGGGAGGGTGTGAAGGCTTTTCTTTGTTAATAATTTCTGTAAATATTGTAGTTTTCTACTTATTTAAAAAGTACCTCTCTTTTTTTTCCCCATTTGAAGCGAAGATGTTTTTTTTTTTTTCCCTTTATCCCAAATATGCATTTAGGGAATTTTGAACTTTGAACCTTAATATTATATTAAATGGGAGAGTGATTTCTTTTAATCAAGCAGCTGTATGCTTAGAAGCACATTTATTCATTGGTAGTCTTGTAAAATGCAATGTGGAATTTGTCTTCAGAACAGGCCAGCAAACAAGAGATTTTTTGGGTTTTTTTTGCTTAATGTACTAAATTCTTGTCTACTTGACTGTCCAAATGTAACTCAAAATTGCTTTTGGAGGACAGCTGTACTTTATTTTCTTTTTTTTCTTTCTTACTTGTAAAATAAACTGTGGAGGACTTTGTAACAGTTGCTATTAAATAACATGACTGAAAGAGTGGCTTTTGTTATAGGTGCTGCAACTTGTCATTGAAGAAACTGCTGAAATACAGAATCTAAAGATTTCCATCTTGTATTTTAGCACCCATCAACCTTAAAACCACATCCTGTGGTTTTAAAAAAAAAAAAAAAAAAATCCCTGCTTAAAGGTCCTGTGTAACATTTAGAGGTATGAAATGGAATACAGTTTCAGTATGTTTTCATTAGTGTTTAATCACCTGGGTATAGGAATAGTTTTTGTTATCATAGATGAGCCGTTCATATCTACAGACACAACTGGTCGCCTTCCATTGGGCCCCCATGTTGAACCACTGTTTATACAGTAGCCCAGAGGGGGGAAACTAGGCTACATACTGGCTCTAGATAGGGGTGTTAATGGTTTTTGTGCATATCGTGGCCACTATAGTTTCTCCTCTTTGCTTGGAGGGGGAATCAAATCCTACACACTGGACGTTAAGAGCCAAAATGTTGGTTATACAAAAGACAGGTTCAGTTTTGTAAATGTGGTGGCTTGCAAATGGAAGCTAATCGGTTGAACTTGGGGCCCAAGTCTTTCAGCACTTTCTGGAACGAATTATTGTCAGGAATGGTGATGTCCTCTAGCTCTGAGTGGTTGTCCGAGTCCCCCTCATCTGCGTAGAGGTGAGGCTGATCGCCCTGCAGATCTTCCTCTGTTTCCTGGAGAGAGGAGAGCCTCTGCAGAAAGAGTTGAAAATCAAAGTTGAGTTAATTCAATACTTGTTAGCAGACATGATACTGTAAGTGCAACACCAACCCAATGAAGCAGGGCTCGGACAGATGCGTCTAACTCATAGCTTGAGTTCCCTTTGTAGAGGACATTTCCTGTGCTCGTGTCCTTAAAAACATTTCACAAAGATTAAGTTTGTTCAGCAGCTGTGTCAAAGTCACATTTAGCACATACCAAACCAATGTTACTCTACCTGATGGCCGTCATAGGAGTCATTGGCAATTAGAGATTTCCAAATTGTCTAAGATTGGAGTAAAGATAATTTATATTTTAAAGTTGCGACTGATATAATTCAATAAGTGCATATTACCTTGTTCCAGTCACAGAATAGGTAGGACATATTTTCTCTTCTGTAATCTCCAAAGTTTTTGTGGCTAAAGTTTTCATCCATAACCTGTTGAAGAGACTGACAGGAGAAACAGGGATGAACAGCTGAGTTAATGTACAGTAGGTCCACACGTTCGTGTGAAAACACCTGTAAAAGACCAACTGGGTGCTCCTCAAACATATCTTAACAATCGTACGTATACCTATTTCAAGTTTTGCAGTTTAACCAGTGACAAAAGTTTCCGTATATCATTTCCATCTGTAACCACCTTGGTTGAAACCTGTCTGTGTTGCATTCCATCATGCTGACTTTGCCAGTCAGATGGGTCACGGTGCCTCTTATCAGGTGACATTGCCAGGAAACTGTCGGGTAGCTTGAAAGAAGAAAAAAAGAAGTCTACATGAAGACAAATCTGGATATGTATCACTGGTTTGTTTGCTAATGTTTCTGAGCAGTGACCTTGCAGTCTGTTCCTGATTTCTCAATGTTTGATGCAAGGAGGGTTTGTCCAGAGGAGTCAGCGATCGACAAAGTGGTGAACTCTTTTTTGCAGGTGATGACAACTGCCATCAGCATCAGAACTGACGGAGAGGACAAAAATTAAACTTGCAGTGAGTTATCAGAATTGTGCCCATTTGCAATTCATGCCTGTTCAGACAGGCCTGTTTGGCTCCCAGAAGTGCTGCTTGCAGCAGTATTGAGAAACGCTCATCTGATTGACTTCACACTCAACACTGCCCTCCCTTGGGTCCTTAGCAATACATCCGCCAAGTGTGAAGTCGATCGGATGAACGGTTCAAGAGATATTCAAAGGGCAGACATAAACACGTACATAAATACAGAGAGACAGGCAGCCTGACAGAAATTGCTTCCTTTATAGTTAATGCTGATACAGCGCCACCTGTTCGTTAAATGGCACCAAATTTGGCACGGTCACTCAAACTTCATATCTACATATGTCCGCCTAATGTGGATGCGGTAGCACAAAGAGATGTGACATGTTATTTAATATAAGCCTTTGCATTTGAGAAAACTTTAAGCAAAACTCAAATCAAAATTCAAAATCCAAAAAGTAACTTTTTCCTCGAATAGCTTCAAAATGGCGAAAAATCTAGAATTTAGAATTTAGAATTTAGAATCTATCTTGTATTGAAATTAGTTCCCATATGGGTTCGGATCAACGTTTTATAAAGTTAATTGGGTCCAGGTTGGGTTTGTCTAACATTATTTGTAATCATGGATCTGAGAAGACCCGCCCATGATCGGATCATGATGGAAGCAGTTCAAAAGGGCAGACAGTCGAAGTTATCTTTATTGCGCTAAATAAATAAATAAATAAATAGATAAACGCATAATCTAAACAAGATGCGTTTATCATTTGTCACCAGGACATTAAAGCTCAAATAAGAAGTGAATTAGCCCTGCTGTTCCAGTCAGCAAGAGCGGAATGACAGAATACCTCTATGTATTTTGATAACTTTCTTGGCAAGGAGGATGGGGGATTATATTCATGACGGCCAGGCACAGGATAGGGGTGTGGGGTCAATCTGATGAACCATTGTTGACCAATTTGAAGGACAGACATACATACAGACAGACAGACATTCATACAGACGGACAGAGAGTCCTTCAGTAGTTGGAAACATATTGCAGTATTCTCCAACACTAATCAAAGTCAATGATTCAGTTTCTTACACAGGAGTAAAAACAGTGAGGCGAACGCTATGCCGATAGCACCAAAGGCAGCTTTTGTGGCAGTGTCTCTGCGGCTTCGGCAGTTGGACGTCACAGAGCAGTCACACACGGTCACACTGATGTTGTAAATGCCAAATTCCCCCTGCATGTCAGAGATCCTCAGTTTAATTGTGTGTGGTCCAGAATACACATCAGGCTCCTTCACCAGACCAGCTGTGTACCCTGTTAGAAATAATCACACAATTAAATGGGTGGGTTTTTTAGTGTTTGTTATAATATTGCCCTACACAGCAAAGCAGTTTCCACCATATGAGGGACTCAGTTTCCATTTTCCTTCGACATCTCCCAGCAGTTGAAATGAGAACGGCCCTCCAAAGGGATTTCCATCCAGGTCAAAGGCTGTGATGTTGGTGGTGGTGGGGCCGTCAGACACACACACATCCACATTGTCCACTGTGAGCTGAGGCACATTGTCGTTCTGGTCGGTCACATGGATGTTCAGTGTGGCTGTACCTGTCAAAGGTGGATTACCTGTCGCACAGAGAAAAACAAAGTGGCGGATATTTAATTAAAATTTTAACTTCAAAGCTTAAATGTTTGGTGTGTGTACATGCCAATGGCAGCACATTAGAGTTTTACCATCATCCACTGCATGCAGTAAGATGGTGTAGACACCGTTAACAACATAAGGAGATTCTCTGTCGGGTGCCTTGACGGTTGTGATGTCTCCTGTGTGGGGATCCAACGTCACCCAGCCAGCAGGATCATTTCCTACCTTGTACCTGTGGAAAAACACAGGTTTCTTTAGTCTAGCAGGTCCCAGAGAGCTCAAACGGAATGTTGGAATAAACATCCAACTTACACAAAGTCACTGGCGTGACTGGAGTCGGGATCACTAGCAATCACTTTCTCTACCCAGGTTCCAATGGGTGCGTTCTCCTCCAGCATAGCCTCTTTGACAGTCACACTAAACACTGGGGGGTCGTTGGTATCCTCAACCTCAATGAGGACTTGTACAGAGTGAGGCCGACCTGCACCAGGATCATCATCTGTACTGGTGTCAACTTTCCAAAGGCCAGAGGACGTCCGCTCTTTCACTTTACAGGAGAAATATGGCGTCTCATTTTCCACTGAGATGGAGAGCTCCCTCTGTGCTCCTTCCTCATAGTCTAAAGGCTGAAAATAAACAGGCGTTACTTTAATTTGTTAATTCATTATGTGTTGTTAGTCAAACATTTTTTAAATAGCTCAGAATATAAACATGTCAACTTCAAGTCTGAGCAGGCATACTATAACAAACACACCTGTAGTTTTCAGACTGGAGGTGGGTGTCAATGAAATGTCAAGCATGAAGCCAAACAGCACTTACTTTAGCTACTTTCAGGATTCCATCATTGGTGTCTGCGTCTGTTTCTATCGTAAAGTGCTCTCCGTCGTCACCCTGTATGGTGTACTTGACTCTCCATGCCAGGCTATTCGGGGTGTCCTTATCTGTCACATGCAGCCGCAGAGGAGAGGTCCCGGCCTCATCTTCTTTCACTTTGCCAGAACCCTTTTATATGAATCCAGAGGTCAGGGGGAAAACTGCAGAAACCTCTTCCTGCTACTATCGAGCATGTGCTGTACACACCCTGTGGTAATAAGCGTAGCCTACATTTTGCGTATTTGCATATTGCAAATTGGTTTAAAGAAGATATACTTTCCACAGGAAGGAGGAACATACAAGCAGATTAAAGAAGTTAATAAAATGGAGAAAAATACCTATATAATGAAAGTACTTGAAAAAATCCTCTTATTAAAACATTTCTTAAGTCTATAAAATGAACATAAAAGATCAATAAGTTTATGTGAAGCCATTATGCAACTATTTTATTTTATGAGTTTCTTTAGTCTTGTGTTGGTTTGCTTGCTTGTTTTGGTTTCATCCCTACAACTACATTTTTTTTTACAGTTTCCATAGTTACAAAACAATAAAAATGTTGTCCCTTATTTCCATCATTGTAGCCTTTCAAAGATGAATGTTTTGAGTAAAACATAATTTCCTGTCATTTTCCACATGGCCACAGCAATATGTCACATCTAACATGCACAGTGGATTATACATTGAAGGTATGTTTAAAAGCATGAAGAACTGTGTGATCTGCAGAAATGATTGTGATGTTGTGGAGAAATGATCAACCAAGATGAACCTACTGTTTGTCCACTGATGGTTGGGAGGTGGTTGTTGCCGTCTTTGACATGAATGACAACCGTAGTTGAACTGGATAGACTGACTACTTCACCATGGTCCTTGGCTTCCACCAACACTGTAAACATTTCAGCCACCTTAATATAAGCAAATAAACATATATTTAATACTTTTATCTTGCATCTAAATCTTACAAATCAACTTAATCTGAACTTTGCACAATATGTGTTGAATGCATTACAGTGAACCCTATAATACATCTATTGGATGTCACTGAGACTCATATATATACTAAATGACTTCTGTAAAACCTCCTCCATGGTACATTCCACCCTGTAGCTGTTTTTAGTTGACACAGTGTTTTTACCTTTAATACTTTACGCGTAATTAGACAGTGCTGCATTCTGTACATAGTAGCATAAATACTACATATCATATTTTACCCCCCCCTTGCCTCATGATCCAAACATCCTTTGAATGAGATTGTTCCTCCAGACTCATCAATGAAAAATTCGGTGTTTGGAAGGTTTGGAGTGACAGATTTGATTTCATAGTGGAACGTTGAGTTTGGTGTCCCTCTCTGGTCTCTGTCATAGGCGACAACTGTCAGGACATGGGATCCTGTTGGGAAATTACAGAATTCTTCAGGCTGTTCAACAACAAATAAAATGGGCATACTTGATAGACATTGTAGATAACAAAAAGGTTTTAAAAAAGGGACTTAGTATATAATATTCTTCACCTTGTGCATCTTCCTCAGCAATGCTGATTTCGTACAGATCCCTCTCAAAGCGTGGTGGGTTGTCGTTGATGTCCCGTATGGAAATCTCAACTCCTAATTTAGTGTCAATTGATGAATCTGTCTTTCTGGCCTCAAATTTCAGCTATATACAGATTGAAATATATGACTCAAAGTTAGCCACAATATAAAGAAAATATATGACATATGATATTATTTAAGAATTTCTGGATTTAAAAGGTACATTTTCTCAAGTCTGTCTTAAAACAATGCTCACTTTCCCATTTGTCCTGTATATTTAAACAGTTTTTGGTTGCTATAATAATTTCTTCTGTGCATACTGGCCCTGAAAGATCCCCTCCTAATGCAGTTAGGGTGTAAGTGATGGGGGACCAAATCCACAGTAGTTGTTAGTCAAAGAAATGTAAGTTACGGTCTTTTTAGTATGACATTTCCTCATTCCCCCTGGACAGTGTTTCCTAGCTGAGTTGTGGTGTAGGAATAATAAAATATTTTGTCCTAAAAGACCAACTTTGAAAGAAATGTGTGTGGCTAACTCAAACTGCTGAAGCCTCATATTGACTTTGACTGAACTAAGGAAGGTATGTTTGCAGTATTTTTCAGTTTCACTATTGAGACATGAAGCAGTTCGTTAGAATATTCCTACTCATCGTTCAATTAGACAAACTATTTAGAGCAATCAGTCTGAGCACTTTCTGCTGTTTAAACTCATTACCAGTAACTATATAACATCACTAATCCTAATCACTGTGTAGAAGTTTACAGCAGTATGGATAAGATGTTAGTGTGTAATATGTGTTGCGTCTAACCTTAAGCACTGTCTTCTCCTCATAGTCCACAGGCTTGTGGACATACACAGTGCCAGATTCTTTATGAATGGAAAGGACTCCCTTTGGCTCCTCATCAACTCCTTCCCCAAAAAGGTCAAAGTATACTCGATATTCCCGCTCGATATTTATCTACGACACATCACCAGACAGTTTTAAGTGATAAAGACTGAAGAAAATGACTGCAGGTGTCAAAATACAGCTCATTATAGACAACTAATGAAAGACTGTCTCATGAGCTTTCCATTCAAATGGTAATGTTTTATATTTATTATAATCAATAAATAAACTTCAAATCAAAAAGTTTGAGTTCAATTAATACATAGCGCTTTCTGGTGAAACTATGTATTTGTTGACACAAAGTCTGACTAGTTTTCTTTTCTCAGTGATTTTCTCACCTTGCCCAGCACATATGGGAAGGGCCCTGGATGCTCCTCCTCGATTGTGAAGGTGTCAATGATCCAAGACCTTCTGTGACGGCTCAGCACATCTGAGCATTTTGCACTTGACAAAAAATAAACCTAAAAGACATATAGCCAGCCAAACTTGAAACGCACAATGAGAGTCATAGTATACAAAGTATGACTGTTTGTTTAAGGCGCTCATAATTGTCATCTGTTCACTTTTGGAATGAACTCATTATGCCACACAGTTGGTGAACCAGTTCCAAAGTGTACACACAGACAATTGTACAGAAACAGCAGTATCACAGTGAGATACTGTGTGCATTAAAGAGATCAGTTTTACGCCAACAACTACTGCCTTGCCGAAGAAGACAATAGACTACATGGAAATCAGCTGGACAGTACATCCTTGAACTCACAAGCCAGCAGAGTGCTGGAAAATTATATTAAATCTGTTTTCCATAAATGATTAAAATCTTTCAACTGTATTATATAATTTAAGGTAATATTGTGTCAAACTTTTATTCCCAAATAAATCAAATTAAATATTATCATCTATAAAGTCACTATAATAGCCTTTAAACTGAATTTAAACTAATTTCTGAAAGTATTGAAGTCAGTGTTGCTACATACCAGGAGGACGAAGCAGAGCATGATGCTTGTCAGCACATCCAGTTCAGAGTGTTCAAAGACTATTCTGACATTTGAGCAAAGAAAGACAAGACCCTCCCCCTATCCTGCTCTACACACCCACACACATGAATGTAATAATTACAATGTGTGTGTGGGCGGGCGAATGTTTATTCAACCAACATTCAATCTATAACCTTCAACACGTCACTGTTTGCCAATGAGGTTTTCTTAAGAAATGAATAATGCTTGCAGTGATCAGTCTTTTTGAAACACTGCCCCATAGTTACCTGCACACAATGTGCAGTATTTGCTAAACAAACCTTGCTCCTTGACTGATACATAGATCATGTCTTTTTTAGGCTTGGTTTCTTGTAAATCAACATATTTTCAGCTCACAGACTTGACATTGTCCTGAGCCTTTTTCTGAGGCTGCCCCACAGGTTCTGGTTGTGGCGTCCTCAAGCTTCCCCTGAAGCATTTTTTTAATTTGGTCCGGTAGCAGGTAAGCACTTGTTTACATCTAAAACACCTTGAAACCAGCTGTTTACTTGATTCTTAGAAACACATAGATACATTTTCCCAGCTTCCTTTATTGTTAAAACAAATAAATCTTGTGAGAGCTACATTTCAAATTAGAGCTAGAAAACATAATTTGCATTGGTAGGACAATGTGTTGCTTTCAAAAACAGTACATTGAATAACCTGAAGTCTTCTCTTGCCAAATGTACCTCAAGTCATACTTCACTGCTTTACTGTCCTGGGTTGTGTTAATACTGTACAAAATTCATGGTTCATCAGCTAAAAGGTCCTGTGGTATCGGAAAGAGGGGAACAAATCTCGTCCTTTAAAACATGCCAAAACAAGAATGAAAACAGGTGACAATTATTAGGAAATCTCCATATTTACATTTCACTGTCCCCACCTCCAAAACGCACACAGAACCCAGTCTACAACTCGATAATAAAAGGAAAGGTTGAAAGCGGTGATAAGAGTCACTGTGTGAAAGACAGTAGAGGCTGAGATGTCTTTTTCAATAGCGTGCATCCCATCCAGTCCATCCTTCACCGCCGGCCAAGGCGTCCACTACTGTGCCACAGGGTGCGTCCTAGGAAGACGATGATGGAGTCTGACTTCTCACCTTCTCTATCTCTGAAGGTGCGGCTCTTCGTTTGAATGTGCTGGTGTGTGTTTCCTTGTCGTCTGACCTGACTACAGGGGTGTCTGCTCCGTTGGCATTGGTGGTCTGGCTGTCGGAGGAAGAGTTTGAAGATGTGGAGGACATGCGGGACTTGGCCTCAAGACCCTCAAGGACGTGTCGAAAGAGTCCATTACTGATGACTTCCTCGTTGTTGTTGTTGTTTCCTTGGACTGTGAGTCAGATAGAACATATTGTTAGGGATTTAAGCATGCTGTGTGTCTTGTAATTTCTGTTCTAATTTCAGGTTTTCATACCTGGCAGTGGGGAGGTCAGCACCCCCTCTTCTCCCCCAGAGCAGAAGAAGACATCCAGTGCCTCCTGGTCAGAGATGTCAATCAGCTCCATCTGGTCCAGCAAGTCCACGTTCACCTCCATGGACGAGATGCTGCCGATTGGAGCTGCAGGAGAGGGGAAGCAATAAAATGATGTGCATCTGTATATGAACGCACATTCGTGTGTGCATGTGTTTACAGAAGTGCCACCAGTCCAACTCACGTCTCTTGTAGTCTCGGATGGAAAGGTGCGCCGAGGACAGGTATACGTCCACATCATGCTGAAAGACCTCCTCGAAGAAACGCTGCCTCTCTCTCAGCTTGAGCTGCTGTGCTGCATCCACATCTGGGAGCCTCTGGCCACGCTCTGTTTCCGCTGGTAGTCACAACAGAAGGACAGGGAGTGAGATACTTGCTCAGGTAAAGGTTTATACCTGATACAGTAAACAGTTTCAAAGCCAAAGAGCACAAAGGGCTGCATTCCAATAAAAGACTTCACAAGGCATTTAACAGACAAGATCCTCAGTCCCTAGTTGTGCCAATCAGTGAGATTGCTTTCTGTTGTGTAATGTGATTTTACAGTCACACAGGAGTCAAATGTTGGTAGCCAGGAGGGGGAGACATTGAGCTGTAAGTGAGAGACATATGAGGTGGAATCTCTTTTTAATGGGCTCTGCTAAGATTGTCTTTTGAAATTTAAATTTGAAAGGAGACATGCTGAAAAGTCAAGCACATAATCACATCTAATAAAAGATGTTGTTGATATGTAAACTATTTATATCTAAACTGTTTTAATTTGCCACTGAACTATCATTTTTTATGGACTATTGTTAATTCCATGCTGCTTCTTCTGACAAAACAAACTGTTGCTTTTATCAGGACACTATTTAAACAAACTCTCTGAGCATCCTCAGACACACTGTACTAGCCTGCACATCAGCCCTGAACCACAGACTGATCTGCAAAAACAAGCTGTCAGGTCATTTACTTAGTTAATCTTGTTTAAGATACCATACGATCCCATTTCCCCCCTCATCAGCACCGCTGTAATAAAGCTGAGTGCAAGTCCAATGTGTGTGAGTGGAAGGGTGAACTGCAGCAGTGAGACTGCAAGAGAAATGATGTAGAGCATAAACTCTGAGTATGCACTGACAACTGTTAGTTTTTTATTATAAAGTACATTTACACTCTTTTCCTTCTCCTTTACTATATCTTACACAGTCAAAAGAGCAGTGTCTGAGTTTTGAGGAGCTATTGCTGCCTGCAGGCAGGGATTGAGCTAAGCCATGTCTAAACTGGGAATAATGTCAAGATTATCTGGCCTACGTTGAGAGCAGCAGTCACAGCAGCTCTATAAATACACCACTGGGTGATGGAGGAAAGACATTCAGCTCAGGATGTTTACAGTACCAGCAAAGGAAAGGATTCCAGTGATTCTCTGTGTTCTCTTACAATATGACATAATAAAAGACTCCCATTGACACAACCTGACTCATAATGGTCCACAGCCATGACTCAGTAACTACTGCAGTCAGAATAAAGCTGCAAACAGTAAATCCAAAAAATGTAGATGTTTCCTAAAAGCAGCAACAGGTCGCCATCCACAGAGTGCTGCATCAGCGCAGTCCTCCCCACAAGTCGTGCCCCAAGCACGTCTGTAGCGACGGGAGGACACGCGCCTGTCGCTGCAGCTCCGCTCTGCCCAGTCTGATGTCCTGCCTCCTGGGAACAGGGACCTCACAGGCTCTGGGATCAGATAGGCAGACAGCTTTGGAGAGAAGTGAAGAAGAGGACAACTCAAACCCCAGGGCTGGACTGACTGACAGCACCTATGGGCATACAGTATGTGTGCAGAACCCGGAAATATAAACAGGATTCCCTGTAGACCGAAAACATAAAAATCTACAAGCAAACTGACAGCAAAAAGTGATGAACTGACGATATCTGCCTCGACACAGTCACCATACTGCCCATACTCATCCCTCAGCAACCCTTCATTTATTTCCTGAGCCATCAGTGCTTTTCTACTGTATCCTTTATTTCTTGCAGACAATTGGGGGACTTGAGGGAGATACTTGAAAACTAAATAATGCTTAAAACTAGTGAGGTATCGTCTCTTTTAGTCGCTAGTGTGGGTCAAACTCCAGAAATTCTGGATACAGTGATTCCCATAATGACAATTCTAATCAATAGCATCTTTCATTTGACTCTCCCTGCCTGGTAAATGCTCATGTCTTTCAATCTCCACAGCTATAGTTTACAACAAGGCTTTCTGTCATAGATCTGTAGTCCAAGCTGGGATAACCCTGATGACATCATCAGAGCTATTTTGACTCTAGAGCGCCAAGAGTGCCCCCTTTAATACAGTGATTGATCCCCACATTGTCTTTTCTGAAAAAATACACTAGTTTAACATTGTACCTCCAAAACATTGTTCACGACAGTGGACAAGGGGAAAAAAGGATTAAAAAAAAAATTAAAATCCAAGCAGCAGAACCAGAGATATCAACTTTTTTATTCGTCATGTCAAAACCTGGTGTCCTCATTAACAACGATGCAACTCGACCACTCGACAGTTTGGTTGGAGATTCAGATGTAGTAGCCGTTAGCCTCACGCAGAGATGAGGAGAGAGTTACAGGGGTCTTCAGCCCCCAACAGGCGCTGACTCGTGTGACTTTAATTTATCTTTAAACTTTTTCTCATATTCCGTTGTAGTCCCCGAGACCTGTAGGCAGATTTTGATCTGCTCTTTACCAAACAGAAGAGACAAAAAACAGGTGTCACTACAAGTGCCCTGCAGGTGATGTAGTGTTTACGACTGTGCAGTGAAGGAGTCTGACAGTGCCACCAGCAGGGTGCAACTGCTCTTTCATAGCTGCAAATTTCCAAAAGAAAAGTGATACCCTCAGATGGCAGGCGAATGATTACAAGTTGTTTATCTTGTGTCAGTCATCTTTATATGACCTTTTCTCTTTGCAGCACTTGTGTCTTTGTGTAGACACCTGAGGCTGTGAGTCTGCAAAGCTCTCTTCGCCTTGCACTGTTACACAATCAGAAACACTTTTGTCAAAGGGAGCAGCGCTGACAAAGCAAGATGTCAGTCACAATCAGGAGCTGCCTGTTTGACGTGTGTGTTTGGATGAAAAGAGCTCCTTGTTTAATGTGACCAGCCGAGGACATCATGTCAGACAAAACACTGGATTTGTACTGGATGGATGACCATCCTTTCTTTTCTTTCAAAAGGAGAGCAGAAAGGACTCGTGATAACGTGTTTGTGTTGCAACTGTCTCCAAGAAAATGATGCTTTTGATTACAAACTTCAGGTTTAAAGAAAATTGCTTATCCTGGAGTATTTTCCCACTGAGTTAACACTAATTGATCACAGCATTGATTATTTTCTACTTAAAGGCTGAGGCCTGTGGAGAGCTAAAGGTTAGCTACAGATGTATATCCTCACATCGATTTTGCTTCCCTATCCAGTTCTTTTTTCCATTGAATCACTTTGATCAATACGTCTTCCCTGGCCACGGACAACCCCTGTGACCTCTAGTTAGTGCAAACAGTCACACGGGAAAATCCTCTGTCACAA